GAATTTTGAAGCAGTTGTGTCGTCTGCTAAAACTACTTCCTTGTCTTATACACATGCTGTGACATAAACGTTTATGTTATGTATAGATTATCATTGGATTGAAATAGCGACATATAACAGTTCTTGGAAGTCACTTATAGACTCGGCCTACTCAGAACGATTTTCTATCGAATTGTGTTATGGGAGGGTCCATTTACTGGTACAGTGGCGTGTGGTAAGGTAAGTGTTCCTGTTGTTTGATTTATTCCTCGTCCGTTTTACTGTAAAGGGGATGTATAGTATATGACTCTTTCTACTATGTACATGATTAATATCAACATGAAGACAATGGTCCTGTAGGGCTCTTGCGTCGCGGTGCTGTAGTCTCAATTCTAAGATCAAGTTCGTTTTATAATGTACAAAGGTTTGGGCAAATCGCAACCTTTTGAACCGTGTAAAAACCTGAATTAAAACGCCATATTCCCTAAGCATGAAGTGGTATTCCCAGGCAAGTGCTCTTACACAATGAAAGTGATATAGTAGCAATGTAACGAAGGGCAGACACATGATATGTGTTTAAACGTCGGCTAATCTGTTGACAAGTTTTATGTTTGACCCTAGTCATTTCGTTTTGTCAAGAAAAGGCATACACATTTAATGGTATTACTTAAAATAAAATGAAATTTAATCACACAAGTATTTTAAAAACCATTATTGATGGTGGTGGTGGGGGGGGGGGGGACTGATTAGTTTGATTAGGTGTTAGAAATTATTACTCTTTATTATGTATTTATTTATTCTTAAGAACCGCTAGGCATAAATGTACAGGGGTCAATGTTTCGTCCAAAGATAAATACAATCAAACGATATCATTTCGCTGACATCCTCTTACATTTACCAGTAGCTGTAAGAATATACTTAAACAAAGCTTTATCAGCATTCTAGTAATCACAACCTATAATTCCAAACGCCATATGATAAATACATGAGGAAATAGGGTTACAACGGAGGTTCCACCATCGAAGATGGCGTCTCTTAGCAACCCCATGCATCTACGGCCCTATATCATCATTATATCATCATGGCGAGGTGCGACTTCACCACTCACCAAATTATCCCCCCTGACACTACGTCCTTTAGTCTGCTTGACTTGTTACAAGTACACCATTTGACTGACGGGTTGGTTTTGTTGCTGTTTGCTGTTGTTTGCTGTTCTTTTCTGCTGTTTTGCTTGGATTTTTGCTTTTGTTTGCTGTAGGTTGATGCTTTTATTATTATTTAGCATTTTATATTTCTTATTCACAAAACGTTATTTTAAAAACCATTTTCGGCCTTAACATGTGCAATTTGACCTGTTCCAGTATTCAGTGATATTTTGAATATGACTACGGGTCCCCTAGGTTGTTGACAGTTCTCAGCAAACTGTAAATAACCCGTACAAAACAGGGTTTCATCGATTATCAATCGAGTCATTACTGTTTTGTTTTTACATAATTATTCCCCTTTACCTTTAGGACCACTTAGCAGATTTGGGACTAAATGAAAACTGTTTGCATCGAATTTGTTCACAAGAATTACCGTTAAGTCAGATATCGCCATCCCTTTTTTCTCTGTGTACCAAAACCCGATTGCCCAAGAACGTTTTAGGTCTAGATGTTGCGATAATCGGGTAGTGTAAGTGGTCAAAGTATTATCGGGGAAATATTCCACTGAAATGTTACTAGGTAGGGTTATGTAAAACATTGTTTCTTTGTGAAAGAGGGATTATGTAACATATAGCCTATAACGCTGCTCAACAAAGCAATAAAAAAACTCTTTTAATCGCCAGCGCTTAACACTGGAGTTTTTTGGTTTTCCCGTTGTTTCTGTGTTCCATTCGATACACCCACTGAGTAGACGTTATCCAACAATAAAGGCTCATCACTGATGTTATAAATATAGTGTAAATAAATTTTCGATTCCCTTTATGCCTTTTTCAGGAATATATCGTCGGCATCGACCATGGAATCGAATATTTTGGTTCAGCCTAACAACCGATCTAATTTCTAATGCGAATTGCTAATTTCTTTCCTGAAACTTTTTTCGTTTTTAAAACTTCTTCTATCTTCCACACCGTGTCTTAATCTTTATTTATTTTCTGCTATTCTTGACCGTAGAAAGAATCCTGAATTTGCTCGTTGTCGAATTATACACGGTTATATTTCCTTCGTAATACTTTGTTTAGAAAATACGAACAGTTCTTCGGTCCACTTCTGTTGTCATCCGCGACGAAACTGACGTTTCTTATGACTCAATCTCACCTAATCTCCTTTCTTAAATCTGTACGGCCTTCTCTTGAAAGATTATCATACTTTCTTTTGATAGAAATGAGGTTTTAGATGTCTTCGTTTAAGTCCTTGGGGGCCAAACCGTACAGTCTTGAATGTTTTCTACTGTTGTTGCTTCGAATGAGATTCGGTAATACGTCGGTGAACCTGTATGTCTGATTTGATTGCCTATGCATGATATTTTTCAATTTACCTGTGAAATATTAGACAAAAGCATCTTTGTGAGTACTGTGACTCGCTCCGTGTTTGACACCAATGGATTTACAATAACGTTTAATCGAGTCGTTCAGAAGCTCCAAACATACATGGACAAATGATCGATGGCAACGAGTAAAAGCACACACTGTAATTATGCTCTTTGATAAGTCGGCCAAATCTGCATCCCACATATAGTCAACGCTGATTAAAGGGGTTTTTACTCGAGGGTTCTTGTTTCTCACTTGTCTTAGAATTCTGTAGTGATCTTGGTTTTGTTGTCAATCGACGATCTGTGATCAACTGATCTTATATTTACCTTCATTTTGTAAGCCATCAAACAACCCATAGAAGGACCCGTAAAGCTTAAACGTGCCTGGGATCATGCTATATCTTCCTCAGATAATCTTCGTGCTTTCTTGAAGACATTTATTTACGACTGACAAACACATTCTCTTAATGCATATTTCTGTGCTATTTACAGTTTGAATTGTTTTATAGGTGAATCTGTCCTTTGTACTTCACACAAGTCTTAACTATCACTGATTATTGAAAAAGTTCAAATCACACATTTTGAGGTCAAAAACTGAGTTAAGTTTTGCAAATAAGAAATATGACATGTTTATATTTTTGTATGTAAAAGTTTGAATTTTTTTGTCATCATTACATATTTTGAAAAATTATGATAAAAATGTGATTGTGTAAGTGAAAAATGAAAAGTTTTTGAATAGAAAATATGACAATTTAAAGAAATGTAATATTTTAAGCTTTTTTGCCAGTAAAACAGGAGTAAGAAAAAAGCTTTAAAAATATATTGCTACATGTAATATAACAACAATATACGCCGAATCACGCCAAATCACGCCATACAAGTCATATTCCGTTGTGAAAAAGGATAAATACACTCTACGGTACAGCCGAAAACTTCATGAGGTCGTCAAAACCAACCCGTCAGTGGAATTACATATTTTACTATAACTAAAAACATCAATGACGTCGTCAAAACCAACGCGTCAGTGGAATTACATATTTAACTATAGCTAAAAACATCAATGACGTCGTATAAGCCAATCCGTCAGTCAACTGATGTACCTGTAAAATATCAAGAACAGCATGGGACACAATTAATGTCGAGGCGATAATTCGGTGAGTTTTAGCGTTACACCTCGTAGATTTGTGGGATTGTCATCTTAGATTCGTTGCATAGTAACGAATCCAAGATAGCGGAACTTCCTTTGCAACCCCAACCCATATCCTCATGTATTCATCAGAAATACATTTCATTTTTACATTCTAATTTAAAAACGGAGCTCAGGCCGTATTATAAAAAAATGTCTGTTACAGGTCAAGTACGTGTGTTCGTTATAAACTGGTACCTCCATAGGTACACATCAATGCTGTATTAATTATCAGATCAGATTTGCACATGTCGAACTTTTCCCGTTATTGTACTTCAAATTCATATTTAATTTCTTTACACACTCTATGTAAGCTTAAATGTACAGCTGTATTAAGCTGAAACAACTTTACACGTAAAATAACTACATTATGTAGCTAACTCCTACTAACTAACTAGCATACAAATTACATTGTGTTACTTACTCTAACAAGTGAACTGATTTAAAATCTAACTACGTTGTGTCACTAACTCTAACAAACGAATTAAGCTATCCAGCTAACTAAATTATGTTACTAACCCTAACTAACGAACTAACATACAAATTAATAACATTATGTAACTAACTCCTCCCTGCTACCTAACTAATATAACAATGCACTACATTATATAACTAACTCCTTTTTACTAACTAACAAAACCATTAACTGCATTATATAACTAACTCCTACTTAATAACTAACTTATATAATAATGAACTACATAATATAACTACATCCTACTTACTAACTAACTAATATAACAATTAACTACATTATATAACTAACTCCTACTTACTTACTAGCTAATACAACAATTAACTACATTATATAACTACCTCCTACTTACTAACTAACTAACTAATATAACAATTAACTAATAGAACAATTAACTACATAATAAAACTAACTCCTACTTACTAACTAACTAATATAACAATTAACTACATTATGTTACAAACTCGTACTAAAGAAATGATTTACCAACGAAGTAATAGTGTAACTAAATCTAACTAGCGAATTAACATACAAACCTACTACATCATGTAACTAACTCTAACTAGCTAACTGATTTACCAAATAACTACATTAGTAACTTACTCTAACTACCAAACTAACATACTAACTAACTACAGTATGTAACTAACTGTGACTGACGAACTAACATACAAACTAACTCTATTATGTAACTAACTCTATGTAACAAACTAGTAAACTTACTAATTACATAAAGCATATCCTCTCGGTCACAACACTAAAGAAAATGCTTTTTTCGTACAATAGCAAATATTTGTGTGGAGTATGTTTTTGTAAAGTGAAATGTTTGTATTAATTTCTAAATAGATGGGGTGCTGTTCTTCAAAAAGATCTCAAATAGCTGTTAAACCACCATTAACTACAAAACCGGAACCAGTGCCGGAACCAGTGACAGAGCCAAGTCCCGTCCAGGAGGATGAAGAAAATGACTCTGATTTTCTTCTCCCGTCAGAAAACGCCGATAAGGATGAGGTTTGTTTATAAAGTTTATAAAACAGAATGGCATCAACGCGATTAAGTAAATAATTCCATTGCGATTCATATTGTTTTACCGATTTCTAATAACCAAAATGAAATTGATTACATCAAGTGGCTATCAAATAATAACCCATTGTCCCTATATGATCACTTGATATCATTGATATCTAAGATGTGTCAGTAATAACCTATTGTCCCTCTATGATCGTTTGATATCATTGATATCTAAGGGGTATCAGTAATAACCCATTGTCAGTCTATGATCGTTTGATATCATTGATATCTAAGGGGGTATCAGTAATAAACCAATGTCAGTCTATGATCGTTTGATATCATTGATCATTTTTTATATTTATTTTATTTTTTGCATTTTTTCATTGTATGTACACAAAGAAGTTCACACACACACACGCCCTTACATACCTACATACATACATACATATAAGAAAAAAGGAGAGAAGAGACAGATTATGATAGAAAATGGTTAGATAGAGGAGAGAAAGAAGGCAGATGGCTAGAGAGAGGAAGAGAGAAAGATGAGGTAGAAGAAAATGGAGCATTAAAGTTCTGCAGAGAAGAAATGAAAGAGGTGTAAGTAAAAGCATTTTTGAGTGGCCAAGACACACTGGACCACCACCGAGCACTTACAAAATCCAGCTGAGAGCAGGCCTGCTTGTTGTTATCACGGATAGCCGGAAGTCAAATGTACAGATTAAACATAAGGGTAAATTTTCATTATTTTGATATCAAATTTTCCGGAAATATATTGTATTACAAGGAAAATGAATACGGCTATTATGGCATCATTCAAATAGTCATATATATATATATATATATCTGTAAAAATACTAAATCAAATAATAATGAATGGGATATATATAAGGTAATAGATAAATAAATAGATCATAATATAAGTACATGAGGAAACACAAGAAAATTTAGATCACCATAAGCAAACGAAAGCAACTCACCCTATAAGCAATATATATTTTAGTCCATTACAAAATAATTCTATACACTCACATCGCACATACATGTATGCCACAACCATTATATTATATATACGAGAAGAAAACCCCAGTTAAAAGTCGGTCATAGACATTACATTTATCACTAAGCACCAGTTCACATGACTGGTTATTTCACTAAACAATCACTAAAACATGTTATATCCTGAAGTTGTCATGTTTAGTAAAATATGATACCTTTAGTGGCGTGTCAAACAAAAGTCATTACAGTCGTTTCCAAAATTAGCTCCAAGAAATGACAAGTTTAAAGTTAAACAGGAGTTCTTTACACAGTTCATTCTGTATGCGTCCTTGACATCTGCTGATTTAGTCGCGTAAGATCCTCAAACACCACAAAGTTAGTTCCTTTCAGCTTCTTGCGGGCACGAAGAATTTTGTTTTTTCCATCTATGTGTAAATTGCTTTAATAATGAAATCACGTGAACACAAATTTACCCAGCCTACAGAAAGGATGGAAATTCTCTCTCCTGCACAGGAACCTCCAAACGTCACATGCACGGTACACAATATATAATATCAAGAGAAATCAAAGAACTAAGTAAGGTGACTTTTCACATTTACAACAGACAAGAACACCTACTGTTTAATAAGGCCAATTATTTGCCAATCATTTCACTAATGCTTTTTTGACTTTTTCATCACTGTTCATCCAACAACAAAATCGTGGATTACTTTGATTTAAAATATAACATTGTTATTTGACTGTGTAGTGTACTCTCGAACATGGTTTAGTATTTTTTCATTCGCAGTTACAAGAGCTTAGTGATAACATTGCTGGTAAATGGCTCATCCCTTGTTGCTTCATTGCATTATTGATTTTAAGAATTTAAAGATTTTCAAATTAACATGATTTACCATTCCATAATATTATCTCACTATTTCATATCTGTTTCTGTAGGCATCGTGAATAACGTCCAGCTTTAAATAACAGATATTATATATATAATTTCAACGTCCGACTATGTAAGTTGGTTACACACACAAAGGCGTACCAGGCAAGCGTGCTACATAAAGGCGCTACGTATGATGGTGTGGCTTAGCATTCAAGTTGTTGCCGGTCAGTCCATGATAACTATTAATTAACACATAATATGTATTTTCTGGTGAAAACACACAAGATCGTCACTTTCACTCCGATAAATAAAGCTATCAACTAGCCCATATCCAAATATAAGGTTGTTATACTCTGTTTCTTGAGTGCGTTTTGCCGGAGCGATTGAAACATGTCCTACACCAGAAGACCTTCGAAGTAAAATTTAGACATGATCTTAATGGTCGCCAGCATAGAAAGGATTTATAGGCTTATCATAATGAAAAAAATGTACGCAATGAAAATCAAGAAGACAGATACTTTCAAAAATTCTAATTTCTAATCCGAAAATATTCTTTGTTGTTTTCGTTATAAGTGAAGATATTCCAACTTGGTTAGACTCAGGTATATTTGTATGACACAGTTTTGACATTGACCAGCACATGTAAACAAAAATGGCCTACAAAAGTACGGGATGTCAATTGAACGCAATATATTCCATGATTAGTCTTATAAATAATTATAAATATTGGTTTCATTTGTATATATACAGCTGGTTTAAGTGGTTGACATCTATATCACTGTTATAGCTAAATTCATTCTACTTCAACGATGCACACGGGATTATTCCTAGTTCATTTCATGTAGCGCTTGCTTATTTATACCAAAGTCTTTTGTTTCTATGACCGAATGAAATAGAAACCTAATTTTGCATGTCGCCTGTATTAAAATAAGTAGTATTATAACCATACAGCTTTCTGTCTACTGTAGCTAATTTTGATTTTATAAACCTATGACGTCATCGTTTAATACGTTTTTATGCAAAGATTTGTTTTCATCTTTCATCTATTAATTATAAATCGACCAATGTTAGTGCAGTTCAGTATGAAAGCTATCACAGGGGATTTTAATCTCGCTCGTGATTCGGTCTGTTTCATTGAGTCATGACCTCAATCAAAAAAGGTTCAACCTGAATCATAATGAGACAAACATTCCCTATATATATTATTTTTAAATAAATAACAAGGACAAACTTAATTATAACTAGGGATATAAGGATGATGACCGCAAAGTGGTCTTTCAGATGCTAGAAATAATTTGTAAGCATACTTCATGTAATGAGGTCAATTAACATTTAGTCCCTTTCGTAAAAATAAACTAATTAGTCATTAGGCACCGTGAACAATCTCGTTCGTTAATCGATCTGTTTCAATGAGAGTAACGAACTCAATCAAAAAAGGGTTTAAATTGAGCCTTATGAGACAAACATTTAAAAATAAACCTTAGCCCTTTAAAAATAAAATGAAAAGATAATATCAAATAAACAAGGACAAACCTAATTTTGCATCCATTATTTCCAAAACCACGAAAAAACCATCAGTGTATCAAATATCGCAACCGATAAAGGGTTTGTAAATAAGGCGTTGACTAATATATACTTTCGCAGACTCCATTTCTTTTATTTTCTACTTGCAGGAAAGTAAACATACAATGCACACAAATCGAGGGTGTATGTAAAGCAGGCGGATACCAGCCAGGAGACAGAAATCTACAAGGAAAAAGTTTATGGAATGCTATATTTGTAGAAGGGGCATGGCAAATAGTCCATCCTTTCTGGATCTGTAGATGCGTTGTCGGTAGACGCACTGGAGGTTGGATCAAATTAGAAGCAGGTGGTCAAGCTATCAGTAAAAGAGAAAATGAAGCTGTAGGGATAATGAAAAACGCATTTGAAGAATACTACTTTATGACAAATCCAAGTGAATTCATCTACATGTGTCATCCAACAGATGACAGATGGCAACTTCTCCAGACCACATTGACAAGACAACAGTTTTTAGATCAGGCTTACCTTCTTCCACCATTTTTTGGTCTAGGCATGGTGATGAAAACAAGGGATGCGTGCGTGTACCAAGCCAAAGAAGGAGAGGTTTATATCAAATTAGAGGCTCCCGCGAAAAATGCAAATGCAATCGACATGTATTATGAGTTCCTGCTGAAAGAAGAAAGTAATGTGCAAAAACTAGAGGAACATGCTCTATGTTCAACGGACACTATGCCTCGGTTTGTTGCGTTGATCAGATGCGGTGAAAGGTGGAAGATTCGAGTTCGTTTTCCTGTTGAAGGAACGTATAAACTACGTTTATTCGGAGCCCCCAACAAAACACCACTCCTTCGGATTGCTGTCTTTAGACTCGATTGTTCGTCGAGAAGAAAGGAATGCATACCATTGCCGATTGACCCGAAGCAAGTAGGATTTGGACCCGGACCCACTGTTGAACAATCTGGATTATTGTTTCCGTCACACAGAAAAGGAGAATATCCACTTCCCAGGGATAAGACAATGAGGTTTACGTTTCATCTCGAAGAAGAGGCTGTAAAAACAACACATGTGAAAACCGATCTACTCGCGTCAAAATATGTAAACGGTTGGTTAGAAAAACATTCTTTAAAATCATTTGTTCACACCGAAATTCAAAGGCAAAAGAGAGAACTATCCATCACATGTAGTATGTTGGAAGATGGGGAATATGCTCTTACCATTTCCACAGCAACGACAGAATCGTCAAATTCATACAGGAACGTCTGTAACTATCTATTGTCGTCGGAGGTCAAGCCAATCAAAGAGGTATGTTCTTATTTAGGCACATGGGTTCAAAAGATGCAGGTTGATGGAAACCACGGGGAAGTTTTATGGTCGCAATAGTGATCTTATTGAGAAATATTCTATTCCTTTGTGTGATATGAAGCTGGACGTGTTTGATGCTCGTTAGTTTGCCTGTTGTCGTATACATTGTTCTCATTTGAGAACGCGACATTTCTTACTGGGATTAACCACTATTCATATGGCGGGTGTCGTCGATGAAGCAGAAGACATTCGTCCGGAGCATCTGGTTTTATTCCCTTTGTATTTTCTCAGGAGTCTCCGTATAAATATTTCTTTTGTTCATATTTTACCTTAGTTTCATGGAATTTGAGTTTGGATTATGATTATGTTGCCATGTTGGTATTTTCTTGATGTTTTGATAGGCGTGGCATGATTTACTTGTCGTATATATGTTGTTGTGTTAAACATCCGTTCAACCCTTATTTCATGATCATATATGTATAAATAGTGTTGTTTACTAACTGTATTCAATCGTTTCCGCGTTCCAATTGTGTTGATTAAGTAGAAGTTATGTGCTTTCTACTTTGTATGCTGTTTTCATATAATTTCAACGAAAAGTTTTGTTTCTGATTTCAGAACAACTATGTAAGATTCGCAAAAAATGCGCTTCGTAAAGTTTTAGCTGCTGACTACGGCTCCCGACCTGACAAGGAAATAATCGAAGATTTAGAAAATGTCCTCGAAAAATGTAGAGGAAATAAAGTTCCAGAAGGTGACGAAGAAATGGAATCCGCAAAGATCAGGTTGGAGTATCTTCGTACGAAAATTGGTAAGCTGCACATGGTCCACTCAAACGGCTTCCGCTGTCATAAGGTTTAGCAAGAATCTTTCAATGATCTTTTGTGATAACATCATAATGTAAATATAGAACGATTTCAGTTAAACATACCGGAGTTCAGCTAAGTGCATGTAACGTGGATTAATTACAATAGCCATTACAAAGAACTAATGTTAACCAGTCTAGAGGAATTGTATTTTTTATTATTTCATATCCGAGAGTTTTGACTTTATTTTATTTTGAAATTTTAATTGCCTTCACAGAAATACACGACGCCAAACTCCGACAGAATTGGCACGTGACAGAGAAAACCATTCACCGACTGATACAGTCACGGTTCGCTTACACGTTTCGTAAGAACATCGAGGAGTTGACTAAGGAGAGAGACAGACTCGCACTAAAGCGGGAGGAACTGCAGCAGGATAACTAATGTAGTGCTTGATGAGATACTTCTTAAACAAACTTCTAATTGGAGTGTTTAACTGCGACAACAATGTGACATTAAACAAAATCAGATACATCCTATTCGGATTTCCCTGCATGAATACAGTCTGACGTTTAAAATATGTGACTGAACTCAATTAGGATACCACAGTTTTCTAAATATACTCCTAACTGACTATTGTCAACCTTGCATTTGGTGAAGGAAGAAAATACACACAAAAATATAGATATTTTCCCCAGAAAATGTGTATGGTAAAATGATTCCATATCATTTTAGAGAACACTACTCTTTTGTTCGTCGTAACATAATAAATCATAGAATTGATATTCGGGCGTATTCATATACCACCTCGTGTTTTAACCCATGGTCATTATTTGACAGGAGATATGTCTGTGGAATTTTTTGAAAATCTCTTAATGCTTTTCAAGTACCGAATGAAAATAGATAAAACATTTCTATCGTCTAATGTACCGTATAACCCTGATTAATGTCCACTGATGGCTATTGAGTTGCTCAACGTCGGTATTATGATGTACACTTATCATTTAAAGACCAATGCGGGGTTGACTTCTTAAAACGTGATTCGTGTATTACTCAAGATACACATTTAAAACACTTTTGATAGGCAAATCGATGTTCCCTATTCTTACACTGGGAAGATGCCCATGCCATATAAAAAGTTTATGATAGTTTATCATTTAAAAGTACTTTAAACTCCATTATGACGGAGGCCAAGCGTCTGCTATGATCAATTTATTAAAATTACACGCGTGGTTTTGAAAGCTTTAGTAGCCAAACAGGATTTTAAACATCAAGTGTATGAGTATAGCAAAAGATACAGAGAGATATCATGTAAACATGTACTTAAAATGCAAGTTTTTGGTAACAAGTAAGACAACCTAAGAAATGTTCTAATTAAAATTATCATGAGGGATCAAAATATGTATGACGGAATAATCAATGGGGAGCCATAATCACTTGAAATAGAACAATATACTGGAAATTGTTATAGTTATATAAGGGATGATATGATCGAGCGATCAGTACAAATCCAAATTACTTATTACTGGTCACATCATATTTTATACAAATGCAAGATAATGTATTTCACTAAAAATGATTCTCGTGCAGAGGTAAAACAAATATTCTGAAAAGCTGTTCATATCTAGATTTAGAGAGCTGTTATCCGCGTAAAATATCTAGTTATATTGAATGCGTTTTTATTCAAATCCTAATAAAACAAATAGATGTAACTACCGCATTTATTTCTAATAATTTTACTTCATCATATAGCTATATTGCATGTATGGTTTTCATTGTTTGCCAATATTCCATTTACGTATATCAGGCCTATGCCGTTTAAATGAGAAACACATTTACATGAGAATGCATGCATTCTATGATTATTCTTATTTAAGATAAGCGTTATAATTGTATTTAATTGTGATAATCTTTATTCCATGTACTTCTGATCAGTTTTATTCAAGATAACTGTGATAATTTTTGTCAAAATAATTGTGATATTTTTATTCAAGATATCTGTGATAATTTTTGTCGAGGTAATTCTGATAATCGTTATTAAGATAACATCGATAATCTTTATTCAATGTAACTTAAAGTTTTTATTCAAGATAACTGTGATAATTTTTTATTCAATATAGCTGTGATTATCTGCATTCAAGATAAATGTGGTAATTTTTATTCAAGATCTCTGTGAAAATTTTCATTCAAGATAACTGATCACAATATTCGGAATAATTGTGATAATCTTTATTCAAAATAACTCTGATAACAGTTTTGATGTTGTTTGTGTAAATTTGTAGCGTTTAATTATCACGTGTGTTTCACTGACAAGACTAGGCAAAACATTAACCTATGGTTATATATGTGTATTTCATCCTTAATAAATAAAGCATATTGCCATTGTATTATTATCTCAAATAAAATGTGCACATTCGTTCCGAATTTGATAGTATGCAGTAATTGCTTTTGTATTCTTTAAAAAAAAACTAGCCATATTATCTTGCACGAAACACATCCAATAAGACAGTAATTGTAAAACTTTCGAAACTATTGGCATGTGAATGTTTAATAAGCAGAAAATGAGACGACCTTGGAACTTAATAACTTCTGTTACAATTAAAGAAAAAAATATTCAATTTTAAAATAGCCATTCCCTATACAAAATTGACAATCATTCCTTTAGCGAAAACATCACACGATTACAGGTGCTATGCACATGAAGGTTATGAACATCCAAATCAATATTAGTCGTAATCAATATCAACCAGATGAGGATCTGCATTAACTTAAAATTCTTCACATCAACTCCGACCTTCTTAATAGTTTCCTTACAGTTTATTTGAAACTTTGTCATGTTTAGTGCCTCGACACTTCAGTGTGTGATTGTACCGATTAAAATGACAAGAAAAATAGAACTTGCTGTGAAATAAGAAACTATCTGAAAACAAGACATTATCATCTCAGAATATACTATAAAGCAATAGCCAACTATTGAACTTTCTGTAGCACTACCTTACATTACAAACATTATGCGGAGATTTGGGTTTGATTTTCTTATTTTAACTTTCAAATACAATATCGTTCCATTACATAAAATATGACTTGTTTGTTTTTGTTCATCATAACAGAAACACTTCAAATCCGAACTTCATCAACTATCCCGAAGCAAATTATCGTAATAAATAACAGGATTTTACACAGGCCATATATAGATCGTTTCTATGCGATTTAATCAAAATAGGTTCATCAACATGTGATTTTTATTCGAGATCATGTTCCTTATTTGTTAAGTTGGATCTTTTCGCGTCTTTTCTCCTCGTTCCTCCGGTATGCTATGATTAAATCAAGTTTTAAATCTGGAAATACCAATGACAATTTAAGATTGTCAAGTCTCAGGTGGATAACCTGTCAGTCATTTCGTTTTTCTGATCAGTTGCAAAATGAACATTGCATACCTAGACTAGGGGCTTGGAGAAAGTACAAATAACATTTGAAAGGTCTATCTTGTTCTCCAGAAACAGCGATTAGATTCGTTTTTCAGATCCAAAATGGTCACGAAATTTCAGTTCCAAAATTGTTGCAACACATCGGACTAAGACGACATGTATGCATACGTGATATATCAAAACGATCCATTCTGTGCTTCTCAATAAAGAGATATGACTTTAACTCTGTCAAAATTCAAATCTGCCGTTTGTCAACCATTTGTTTTCGGATCACTTTCAAACTTTGAAACTTGGTTTGACCAAGAGTAATCTACAAATGATATTTGAGAAAGACCCATTATGTACTTCTCAAGAAAACCCGAGAATCAATTTTTACAGTCACATGAAAGATGGCTGCCAGTCGGGTCATTTCCATTTTCACATCTTTCCTAAATTGAAACGCCTACAACTTATAATCAAGGAGAACCTTGAGCCTTCATGTGAAATTAAAGTGACCCCCAGTACTTCTAAAGAAATAACGATAACAACAAATTCAGTAAATGATTGCAAAGCTCCCCAACAGCAGGCATCAGAAGGTGCATTCAAAAGTTCTATTACAAAAGTATTGCGAAATGTTACAGAGTGAACATCTGGACTTTAACAGTCTGTCATATCAACCCAATCCTGGAACTTTAAAAGGAGTGTTTTACAAATAGGTGGGTTGTTGGAGGTATACTTATGGATTTTATTAAATAAGTAAAGTGCAACGCAAAAACAAAAATACAAAAAGTCATCATAAAAATATAACATTTTAGATCCATGCAAAATAGGAGGGATGTGGGTTGAATATTTTGTATTCAACCGCCGTGGGGAAATAGGATTAGCTCACAGGTGCAAGTGAGCGGTGAACTAAAAATTGTTGACTGTTTTCGATCTCTTAATTTGTATTAAAAGGTGCTTTTCACTCAATATATTTCATATTCTTCCATCATTAACACTGGAAATTTTGTCAGTTTCAAATTTTCAGTTGGCAGTTTTTCAAATTAAAATAGTTTTAAGTAGAAAGGAATCGAAAAGTGTATTGTGCATAAACCCATACATATTTACACACACACAAAGATATTTCAGTGCGCCAATCCAAACATTTGGTTTTAATTAATGAGTAATGGCAATTCGATATGATTTTACATTGCTTGATACCTTTGCAGATGGGAGTTAGATGCTTAATCACCCAAGTGTTTCTTACAATAAATAGATATTATTAATATCATGTTTATCACAGGATAATTCAACTATCACAAGTCAATCTTAAAACAGTCATATTTTCAATTACACTTCAACATTATGATACCCAAACAAATCTTACTAGAACAATAAAGGTTCGCAGTATTATATCGTTAGATTGTAAGTAGAGGATAATAAAACTGACCATGTCTGCAACACTTGTGACTTGTCCATCTCTTGAAGAGCCTGCAGTTGTTTCCAAGCATCTTCAGAACCAAGTTTTGTGTACTCGTTATCAGGTTGAAGCTTGAATTCGTATTCCCCAAGAATTATATACTGACAAAGTGCAACTTGAATGCACACATAGAGAACATCAAACTCGGTCCTGTTGAGCGACCTGTGTTTCAGGTATCCTCCAAGAACGTGACCGGCAATTTCAACGGGGCCCATCGACTTCACGTCCGTAATGGCATCTCTTATTACCATGGATACCTCAAACACGTATCTGGAAAAGCTGACGTCTCCAAAGTCAATTACTCCAAACTTGGACTTAACAGAGTAAGAAGTTAACTCTTGATTTGACTGATATATTGGACGTAGTTTTCCCTCGTCTTCATTGATAATGATATTCATATCGTGTATGTCTCCGTGTATTATTCCTGGAAAGTAACAAAAATAGGGATATCTTTCCGATCTAAGAATGGAATTAATTAAATAAAGTATGGCATTCAACATCATAACAAAATAAATTAAACAAAAGTGATAATCATTCGTCTTCGAGAAAAATAAGATAAAACCGATAGAGTAAGTCATGTCATCTACTCGTGCGAAAAGGAAATAAATACCATCTAAGTATTTCATCGAGATATATATATACTTAATTCCATTAGAATGTCTCTACTTTTATCAGCGAGTCTTCAGTTTCAACTACTCTGGCAACCTTAGGTTTTACATCAATAAGAATAGGGTTTTTACGCAAATTTATTTATTCTTTTTATTTTCATTTCAATTTCTTTTTTCCCCGTTTATTTATTTCCAAAAAGATAAATGTATAATGAAATGAAGCATTACAATTTCATAGATATTAAACGCTAGGAAGGAGGTGATTTTTCATGGTTCATCACTATTTTCATATATTTCATATGTATTCTCTCATTATTCTTACCAAGTTTGAAATTATGCTAAAAAATCTAGTTTTCCTTTATAAACCTTAGTTAACATTACCCCCTCCCTACGGTGAAATGTGATACCTTGGGGCCATGAAATTCAATTTTCGTTCATCCATGAAGAGTATTTGATTCTATCATATCTGTATGTTGAAAAGAAGAGTTTTTAAATATGAGTCAATTTTGGCCCGTCAGTCAGGCCCCTGTGGGGTGGGGATTGTATAATCCTCAAGTTAGGTTCATGTTATGCCAGGGAAGATTTTCGCAAAATTTCATTTCCTTTCAGGGATTTTGAGAAGAGGTCGAAAAATGTTAAATTATTTACGGACGCAGGACGCACAAACACCAGACAAAGGTGATCGCAATAGGTCACCATGAGATATCTAAAACTTCAATAAGTCATTTACCGATTCGAAGCCAAAACAACAAAAACGTACTATTTTTACACGATATAAAACAGTGGTGACATTAACCGAGAAAATGGTTATTATCACTATCTAGACAAGATGAAATGTAATAAAGTGCGCATTTGGAATGCCAAAATATTTATTTTTCAAAAGAGAAAGATTTATCTTTAAGGGTTTTTTTACTATCACTGTGCGATATAATAAATATGTTTAATATTACCCAGAAATGATAAATGGGTCACATACCTGAAGACAGATTGTCTACTACACATAATACCTCCTCCTCAAAACGACGTAATATCGCCGATGTTACTCCAATCTTTTTCACGTCCTATACAATGCAACAGAAAAATAATGATAAACAAAATATATATTTCTCATATTGAAATCAAGTTTATTTTCTTACAAAGAAAGAAATTTTAATTCTGATATATTTGTAGATCTTATTACATCGTCCGTCTACCGATCATATGGGGATTTTTGAGAACTTCGAAGAGCTTTTGGTCAATCTTCAATACCCACTTCTAAAACACATTTCTTTTGTAAGAACATTCTAAACTCTGTACATCACCATACCCCATTCTTGACTGAAGCATTCGTTATCTCGTTATAAGTTGACCGGCAGTAAAAATATAATATTCATTATGGTTATCAACTAATACTGGAGTGGTTTCTGCATCCTCAACCTATGGTGTTGACATGTCGTAGGTGATTCGATATTCAAGGGCTGTTCCCAGTATTACGATTTCCATGCAAGATTGCGCTGGACGTGTTTAATGCTCGTTACTTTGCCTGTTGATTCCGTTGTTTCTATACCTTATTATTATTTGAGAACGTGACCTTACTTACTTGAAGTGACCAAACTATGCATGGTGGGTATTATCAATGAAGCAGAACACGCGTATATTTCTGGAACATATGGTCTTATTCTCCTTGTACTTTTTTAAGAAGTATCTGTGTAAATCTTTGTTTTGTTTATAATTTGCCCGAGTTGAGTTTGGACTATGACTATGTTGACATGTTGGCGTTTTCTTGTTGTTTTCTGTAGTACATGTAGTTTTCCAATAATCACCATAAAATAAAACCTAAAAAGATTGCTATAATCTCTAGCTAGCGATTCAATCATTTTCAGGTGTGATCGTTTCCTGGTAATTATATTACTTGTATTTCGTGCAGGAGGTCTTTAACTCGGAGAAAGTTGTCGATCCTCCATGGATCCAATGAGTCGACATCTACCCGAACATTATTAGATTGTGTCAGCCTCTGAAATAGCAATGTTAATGTAGATGTTGGTAAATTTGAAATATTTCAAAAGTAAAATAAAAATGTCAAAACCAAAAATAATAGGCAATTACACAAATTTGAAAGTAGTATAAATTGTACAAAGGACAAGCAATTGAATAGCACCTTTTCCTAATTCAAAGCGAGATAAAGTAGAGCCACACAATGAATTTAAATGAATCATACTGCTGTCATGTCCTTTTAGGTCCCGGCAGTGGTGCTAAGGGCCTAAATTTTGAAGCCTAAAAGTCGGCTAAGAAAAATCCAAAGTGATCGAGAGGTAAGTAAAAATGTGCAGCAGCCCCGTAATTAAAAAAATCGTAATTTTCATATTTCAGATAATTCTAGAACAGCATCAAGTGCACTTGTATATTTTTAACCGTGCCAGTATTCGAATTAATTAAAACGTGGCAAACATGTTCCGGCAAACTTCAGGGACTTTAAGACCACCAGCCGTGTCTACCACATCCTATCTTAAAGATTGTACTAAAGTCCACCATCCGTGTCTACCACCTCCTATCTTAAAGATTGTACACAAGTCCATCAGCCGTGTCTACCACATCCTACCTTAAAGATTGTACAAAAGTCCACCAGCCGTGTCTACCTCCTCCTATCTTAAAGATTGTACAAACGTCCACCAGCAGTGTCTACCACCTCCTATCTTAAAGATTGTACAAAAGTCCACCAGCCGTGTCTACCACCTCCTATCTTAAAGATTGTACATAAGTCCACCAGTCGTGTCTACCACATCCTATCTTAAAAATTGTACAAAAGTCCACCAGCCGTGTCTACCACCTCCTATCTTAAAGATTGTACATAAGTCCACCAGTCTTGTCTACCACATCCTATCTTAAGAATTGTACAAAAGTCCACCAGCCGTGTCTACCTCCTCCTATCTTAAAGATTGTACAAAAGTCTACCAGTCGTGTCTACCACATCCTATCTTAAAGATTGTACAAAAGTCCACCAGCCGTGTCTACCACATCCTATCTTAAAGACTGTACAAACGTCCACCAGTCGTGTCTACCACATCCTATCTTAAAGATTGTACAAAAGTCCACCAGCCGTGTCTACCACCTCCTATCTTAAAGATTGTACTAAAGTCCACCAGTCTTATCTACCACATCCTATCTTAAAAATTGTACAAAAGTCCACCAGCCGTGTCTACCACCTCCTATCTTAAAGATTGTACAAAAGTCCACCAGTCGTGTCTACCTCCTCCTATCTTAAAGATTGTACAAAAGTCCATCAGTCGTGTCTACCACCTCCTATCTTAAAGATTGTACAAAAGTCCACCAGCCGTGTCTACCACCTCCTATCTTAAAGATTGTACAAACGTCTACCAGCAGTGTCTACCACCTCCTATCTTAAAGATTGTACAAAAGTCTACCAGCCGTGTCTACCACCTCCTATCTTAAAGATTGTACAAACGTCTACCAGCAGTGTCTACCACATCCTATCTTAAAGATTGTACAAAAGTCCACCAGCAGTGTCTACCACATCCTATCTTAAAGATTGTACAAAAGTCCACCAGCAGTGTCTACCACCTCTTATTTTAAAGATTGTACAAAAGTCCACCAGCCGTGTCTACCACCTCCTATCTTAAAGATTGTACAGTACAAAAGTCCACCAGTAGTGTCTACCACCTCTTATTTTAAAGATTGTACAAAAGATACACAAATGCATGGTCGATCGGATGAGGTTCAGAGAGCAGAAATAGACTATAGTTACAGGTCTCGCTTGTCTCGCTTTGTTAATATGGCGATTTTTAAGCAAAATGCAAAATACGGCAGATTTCAAAGTTAATTTTAATAATAAATATGTAAATACGATATGATGTTGCCATCTAAATATGGATGCACTTTAAAACACAAAATGAAAATTTAGTAAATCCTTTAACATTCAAAATTCACTCAATCAAATATAACATTTACCCACCATTTTGGGGGGTAAAACTGAACTTGTTCAGTAGCGTTCAATACTTGTTTCAATTTGACTATGAATTAATTTCAAGCAAGTCATTTCTCTTAATCTTATTTATTTATTTTTGTCTAACTACAGTCATAAACCAAATCTCAGTAAAGTTTATTTTTTACGTTTTGATGAACGGCTCAAATGAAGTATATTTTCCTTTGAGAAAGAAATAAAAGAGACATTAACAGAGCAGATTAGTTGTTTTGTTTGTGGATGTCTATTAGGATGTTGTCACTTTGGTGGTGAAGGTTCCACCATGTGATTGTAAAGTGAAAGAAGGGGTCGTTGTATGTGAAATTTAGGTCGTTTTTGTGTCATATTTGGTCTGCAGGTAGAGGATGTTTGTGTCCGTGGCTACATACTAGTGAATGATTTAGCAGAAGAGTATGAAAAGTGTTCTTGTTCTGAGATTGTGTTGTAGCATGTATCATGGTGTTCTTCCTCGTGCTTTCTGTAATATGTTGTTTGTATAGTGCGAGTCCAAAATTGAAGACCAGGATTCTAATTTTGGTCTGACAATGCGTGATCTGTAATATATGGTAGGTTTTTTCGTATTGGAGACCCATCTGAGGTTGTTCCAGACAGTACAGTGTAACTACTTATGGGCATTACAGTGAAAAAGAAACGTCCACACTCTAAATCAGTCCCCATGGCCCAGTAAGCACGTTTATTTAATTACATTCTTTTATTGATATTTTTATGCCTTTTTTTATTGTTATTTTCTGTTGTTTATTTTGGGTTTTTTCTGTTTTGCTTTGTTTTGTTTTCATTGTACGTTTTTTTTTTTTACCTGGAATGTTAAGTGTAATTGTGCAACGAATTCCCCTAGTGACACCAGTATATCACGTGCCGACAGTCTGTCCCAGTGGTTCATGAGTGGGTCACCAGGTACGTAGGTCAGCATCCACATGCACATTGGGTCTGCAAGTATAAAATGATCACGAGTTTACAAAGGTTACGAAAGATCTTTTAGATGTAGTAAAACAAAGTGCAGCCAGGTTACAAAAATACACAATATCAGATCAGTCTCTTATGAAATCTGAATATTTTTTGTGAACAGCGCAAATGCCTTATCTAGTAGTTACATAGTACGACTCGTGTTGATGATGCTTACATAGGTTTTTTGCCGACTTTTTATTTCCGAGTTTTCAGTCTTGGTTCAATACTATTGATGATATCAAGAAACGGTAGGTCCAGTTTATTCAAGGTGATAAGTTATAATGACTTGCGCCTAATTCAATGTCTACAATTGATAAATACATATGTTTTAATCAAAATTTATTTATGGAAAATCAACACGTGAGCAATAAAATTTGGAAAGTGGCGATGAACCAAGTGTTTGCGAATAGAACGTGCCGTCTTCACTCACCATTACATTGGTCATACCAGTAGAACCAACTACCTGATTTTGTCTTCACAAATGTGGGACAGACAAAGTATTCACTAGACAGAAAATTCATAATGTGTCTCTGGTGTTCTAATTTAGAATCGTCTTGTTTTTCTCTCGATTTGGAAATTTTGACTACATAACACTCTGAAGTCTTATGTCGAGAATCCCGCTCGGACAGTTCACACCTGACAAAGAAATTTCTGTCCTCGAAGGCAGGGAATTCCTTCAAGTCATTCACGGTCAACCCGTATACTTCATACACCAGACGGACAACGTCCGTTGGTGTTACATCTGGTCGGACTGACATGTATACTGAGTAAATACAACTACAAGTACCGTCACATAAACAGAAACTGAACCGGCTGCGTGGTGTTTTCAGAGCACCAGTTTGGGCGCATTCGATCAGAAACTCTATGTGGTTATATGTCTACGTATAAAACTTCACACTGTAGTAAGAATATATAAGATATCCAGGAAAGGCCACATGAAAATATTCGGGTAATGCACTTGGTGGAAAGAATGAAGTTCAAAAATGAACTAATGATAAAATTCCAAATTTGTACTAATTCTTTTTGTTTTATTAATTTTTTTTAGAAAATATTTACACTTATTTAGAACTATATAGAAAGCATCTTGATATACCAAAATGTACCAAGCTTCAACAAAAATCACACTGATTCCTAACATGTTATCGTTATCTGCAGGATTTTTTTTAAGATACAGTGTATAATATATACTACTCACAATTTGATAGGGATCTTTTTTGTTATTTAATGTTTAAGAATATATTCTACAGTTCAATTTATACATATTTCGGCATTATAAGATGAAGATTTAACAACACCAAGCGAAGAATAACAGTATCAATTTGCTTCAATGCTCATTGTACACAGATACCCCGAAAATCGCAAATTACGACAAAAGGGGCGAAAAATTAAGTCCTACGAAACAGTGTCAATCAGCGAAAAATACAGTGTTAGTATCGAGTATAACGTCCTTGAGCATCAATTACGCTCTGGCAGCGGCGGCGCATGCTTCTGATCAAGTCTCGTATCCGGTTCTGGGGAATACTTGTCCATTCAGCGACGAGAGCCGAGTTCCTGAAGCGTTCTAGGTTGGATGTTTCTCACCGAAACAGCGTTCTGAAGCATGTCCCACACATGTTCTATCGGATTGAGATCTGGAGAATGGGCTGGCCAGTCCCTCCTCTCAATTGTTTCCCTTTCCAGATACTGTTCATTCACACGAGCTCTGTGTGGTCGCGCATTGTCATCCATAAGAATGAATTCTGGACCTATAGCACCAGTATAAAGCCTGACGTACACGTCCAGGACTTCGTCACAGTACCGCTGTGCAGTCAAACTGCCATTAAGGAACACATGAAGGTCGGTCGTGCCTTGCATGCTAATGCCACCCAAAATCATAACAGATCCACCACCGTATCGGTCATATTGGGAAACGTTAGCGGCATGGAACCTCTCATTTGGTAGTCGCCACACCCTGGCACATTGGTCAGTGAAATCTAAGCAAAATCTAGACGACTTGTCTGTAAAAAGTACGAGGGACCAGTCATGGAGGCTCTCATTCACATGATCACGAACCCAAGCAAGTCTAGCTTGAACATGTTGTAACATCAAAGGAATTCTCACAGCAGGTCTGCGCAACCTTAAACCAGCATCATGAAGTCTATTTCTCACAGTTTGTGTGAAGATATGAGTTCCGGTGACATTCTGGAAGTCATTACGTAGTGATGTACCGTTGATGAACCTTTGACATCGAGCTGCAATAACAAGATAGCGGTCTTGACGCTGCGAGGTAAGTCGTTCCCGACCCCCACCATGTCTTCTGGAGACAGTTCCATAATTTTGGTAACGATTCCACATATGGGACACAACACTCTGGGACACACCAAGGTCATTGGCCACCTCCCTTTGTGACCTAACAGACTGGATCATACCAATGCCCCTGTCCATATCTGAAGTGCTTAGACGTCTTCTAGCCTGCTGTCGGGGCATTTTGAAACCATTAAAATTCAAAATGTAAAGCAAAAAGCGAGATATTCTGCCACAAACGTATTGATGACAATCTGCACATAGGAGGGTCGTGCGTGTACACGTAAAGTGTAGGCATTACGGGTGACTGACCACATAAACACCCGATACACATAGACCTCGGTACAGATATAAACCAACAAATATAAGGAATACGTATTATTTTATTTTCAAAGAAAATCTTGCTAATTATTAGGTGTGATCCCTATCAAATTGTGAGTAGTATATATATACTGGGACAGTACCTTGTGTGGTAACCTTTCACCCCAGCATGCCACCATCGTCAAAAATCTTCCAGAGACACTGGCAAATCGTGCTGTTGTCCAGTAAATTTCAGAACATTTTTTTCGGAACCACCAATACTAGCTTATCGCAGACCGAAAATCATCAAAGACCTGGTAGTGAGCGGTAAGTTACTAACAACTTCCTACACTACTGCAACTGGCCGTTTCAAAACATACAAACTTTGTCCGTATACTCACAGCATCAATTGATTCAAATGTGAGGTCAACCGCCAGAACTACCACATCCTCCAGTCGGTATCCTGCACATCGTCCAATGTAATATAGTTTATTACGTGTGCCAAGTGTCACTTGCAGTATGTAGGGGAGACCAAAACACCACTAAATCTCAGGATCAATATCGATATAAACAGACTTAATTATCATCACTCTCCAAACCATCATCAATTTTTTATTAAAAAATTTAAACCAAATGCTTTGAAGAATAATAACCACAATTACAAATGTACTTTGAACTTCTTATTTTGTGTCTCATCACTCAATATACCAGCCAAACCCTAACAAATCCTGATACAAAAAAAAACTATGAAAATATGAATTCAAGCTACGTATTTAGAACATCCGGTAATCGCTGATCAAATGCACCTAAACTTTACACACAACCAAAATATGTGATGCAGTTTTAGTCACTATCATTCCAATTCCATTCTGTTTTATTCAATTGTAGATCATTTACATAGAACCCTAGTGTCATCGAGCATCCAGCGTCAACATGAAGTTTCCATCATAATTTCTACATTCTACTGTCAGTTAATTCATATGGCCATTTCAAATGAATTGTCAAAATTTTGATATTTCAATCACCCGATTGTGTTTATATATGGAATTGCTAGAAGAAAAATATGCATTTCACAACTGAAATGTCATATTTTAATGTGGCTAGTGAAACCAGTAGAAAAATAGCCATGCAGTATTCAGTCATTGGGTACAGAGAATCTCAAAACATTGAAGAGGTCCATGTGTTACATGAAAAGTCACAGAAAAATCGTTTAGTTTTAATCTACTCGCTTTAATTTTGTATAAAAGAATGTTACTTTGTATACATTTATTTTGTATATGATATTTGCTACGCTGCATTTAGAAATAAATTGACATTGAAATTGAAAACTTGAATCACTTTGAACAAGAGAAACTTCCTGTGCAATTGTACAGTTTTAGTATGTTGGGAGTTTGAGATCATACCATATCATCAGACAGTGTTGTAACACTAAGGGGTGTTTGTATAATGATCAGAAATTGATCTGTTTCTGTATAAAACAAAAAAAAATGTGACAACAGACAATAGCCATACATATTGTCTGTATATGTGGTATAAAGAAAAACAAACTCTGTTTTAAGTAAGATGTCTTTATAACACAATGGTACACTGCTCTATAGTAAACAGGTTTGTAATCTAACCAGACAAAAAATAGATATATAAAGCAATCTGTATATACCTCACAAACATTATATCTTCAAAAACTCATAAAGAAATTTGATTTCTAACAACTTGCCTTAACATGAATAAGAAAAGACATTAATAGACAAAAAAATCACTAAGGTCATTAACAATATTTGGTGAAAAAAGTTAATTAGTAAGAAAATAGTGTAATGCTTCACTTTTTCATGGCCATGATGAAGTGAACCCCTTCCCCCTCCCCCAACCCTCCTCAATTTTCCCACTCTGTGTATTTTGTTGTTGTTGTTTTATTATGTATTGAGGACCATTGAGGAAGTAAACTGATAAAAAAGCCATGGGCTTCACTTTACAATACTGCACTGGCATATAAATAATATCCAATATTCCGGTGTATAATTTAAAAATTTACTCCTATGGTAGCAAGAAAGGGATCTCAAATAAATGCAACAACAGAGTGAATTTTGATTTAAAAACATGTATTAAGTTATACAAAGTTAATATCATATGTAAATGTATAAGGAAACCAATAGAGAAAATATCAGTAGAAACATTGGTACACTTAAACACTAATAATGATTTATAATAAAAATAAGAGGCTTATAGGGCCTGTCTTACTCATAATCATTACATAATAGAAATGACAGAAAATTTCTCAATAACATATTAGTAACTTCTCTAAAAGCTGAAAAGTAGTTTGACTATGTAATACTGTTAATGATATTCCTTTTTTGATGGTCCAAATCATTGCTGATCTATTTTAATATTCAAACTACCTTTTTATCATCCTTGAATAAAACAACATATAAAACTGTAACACTGGCAATCCTAGTCAACAGACTATTACAATGAACAGATACTCCTTGTTACAGCAAAGGTATTTTATACTTGATTACAACTTTTAAACTATAATTCGAAAAATAAATTAACTTCTTGGGTGACCAGTGACACAATGGTAACACTCTCATTTTTCACCTAAATGATGAAGATCACAGATTTATAAGAATCTTAAAAAATATTAAATATGCTTGTTTATCTACCTATTCCTCTGACAGTAATGCTCTTAAGTTATGAGACTAAATATACAGGATCAAGCAATATTAACATCAGACGATAAAATATCATGTGGAGTACATTCTCATCAATCATGTTAGTAGTAAAGTTGATCAATTCAGTTAATACTCTTACTTTTATTGATCTTTACTCTTAACCATCGAGTGCAATTAGTTCTCAGTGCTTCATTTACAACATGACATTTTACCCTCCTGTCTCACTGTTTAATGTGGCTAATTATAGTTGAAGCATAAAAACAGTGGGAAAATAATGAAAAACTAACAAACTTTTTGAAAGACATTTAGTCCACCATAAAATCCAATCAACATGTGTCTGCTTCTTAACAGAGGCTGATTGTTACCTGCATAAATTATATCACACATTTTGATTTCAACATGCCTTACTTCAACATGCCTTACTTCAACATGACTTACTTCAACATGCCTTACTTCAACATGTCTTACTTCAACATGCCTTACTTCAACATGACTTACTTCAACATGACTTACTTCAACATACCTTACTTCAACATGACTTACTTCAACATGACTTACTTCAACATGACTTACTTCAACATGTCTTACTTCAACATGACTTACTTCAACATGACTTACTTCAACATGCCTTACTTCAACATGCCTTACTTCAACATGACTTACTTCAACAGGTCTTACTTCAACATGACTTACTTCAACATGACTTACTTCAACATGACTTACTTCAACATGACTTACTTCAACATGACTTACTTCAACATGACTTACTTCAACATGACTCACTTCAACATGCCTCACTTCAACATGACTCACTTCAACATGACTTACTTCAACATGACTTACTTCAACATGACTTACTTCAACATGACTTACTTTTACTTCAACATGCCTTACTTCAACATGACTTACTTCAACATGACTTACTTCAACATGCCTTAGTTCAACATGACTTACTTCAACATGACTTACTTCAACATGCCTTACTTCAACATGACTTACTTCAACATGACTTACTTCAACATACCTTACTTCAACATGACTTACTTCAACATGACTTACTTCAACATGACTTACTTCAACATGACTTACTTCAACATGACTTACTTCAACATGACTTACTTCAACATGTCTTACTTCAACATATCATACTTCAACATGACTTACTTCAAAATACCTTACTTCAACATGTCTTACTTCAACATGACTTACTTCAACAGGTCTTACTTCAACATGACTTACTTCAACATGACTTACTTCAACATGACTTACTTCAACATCACTTACTTCAACATGACTTACTTCAACATGCCTTACTTCAACATACCTTACTTCAACATGTCTTACTTCAACATGACTTACTTCAACATGACTTACTTCAACATGACTTACTTCAACATGACTTACTTCAACATGACTTACTTCAACATGACTTACTTCAACATGACTTACTTCAACATGCCTTACTTCAACATGACTTACTTCAACATGACTTACTTCAACATGCCTTAGTTCAACATGACTTACTTCAACATGACTTACTTCAACATGCCTTACTTCAACATGACTTACTTCAACATGCCTTACTTCAACATGCCTTACTTCAACATGCCTTACTTCAACATACCTTACTTCAACATGACTTACTTCAACATGCCTTACTTCAACATGCCTTACTTCAACATGACTTACTTCAACATGCCTTACTTCAACAGGTCTTACTTCAACATACCGTACTTCAACATGACTTACTTCAACATGACTTACTTCAACATGCCTTACTTCAACATGACTTACTTCAACATGACTTACTTCAACATGCCTTACTTCAACATGACTTACTTCAACATGCCTTACTTCAACATACCGTACTTCAACATGACTTACTTCAACATGACTTACTTCAACATGCCTTACTTCAACATACCTTACTTCAACATGTCTTACTTCAACATGCCTTACTTCAACATACCGTACTTCAACATGACTTACTTCAACATGACTTACTTCAACATGCCTTACTTCAACATGCTTACTAACATGCCTTACTTCAACATGCCTTACTTCAACATGACTTACTTCAACATGACTTACTTCAACATGACTTACTTCAACATGACTTACTTCAACATGCCTTACTTCAACATGACTTACTTCAACATGCCTTACTTCAACATGCCTTACTTCAACATGCCTTACTTCAACATGACTTACTTCAACATCAACATGTCTTACTTCAACATACTTCAACCTTACTTCAACATGACTTACTTCAACATTACTTCAACATATCATACTTCAACTTACTTCAACATGTACTTAAACATACCGTACTTACTTCAAACATACTTCAACATGTCTTACTTCTTACTTCAACATGACTTACTTCAACATGCAACATTACTTCAACATACCGTACTTCAACATGTCGTACTTCAACATGACTTACTTCAACAGGTCTTACTTCAACATGTCTTACTTCAACATGACTTACTTCAACATACCATACTTCAACATGACTCATTTCAACATGACTTACTTCAACATGTCTTACTTCAACATGTCTAACTTCAAAATACCTTACTTCAACATGTCTTACTTCAACATACCTTACTTCAACATGTCTTACTTCAACATGTCTTACTTCAACATGTCTTACTTCAACATACCGTACTTCAACATGTCTTACTTTAACATGACTTACTTCAACATGTCTTACTTCAACATGACTTACTTCAACATACCGTACTTCAACATGACTCATTTCAACATGACTTACTTCAACATGACTTACTTCAAAATACTTTACTTCAACATTCAACATGTCTTACTTCAACATGTCTTACTTCAACATGTCTTACTTCAACATATACTTCAACATTTCTTACTTCAACATGTCTTACTTCAACATGTCTTACTTCAACATGACTTACTTCAACATGTCTTACTTCAACATGACTTACCTCAAAATACTTTACTTCAACATGACTTACTTCAAAATACCTTACTTCAACATGTCTTACTTCAACATGACTTACTTCAACATCCCTTACTTCAACATACCTTACTTCAACATGTCTTACTTCAACATGACTTACTCCAACATACCGTACTTAAACATACCGTACTTCAACATGTCTTACTTCAACATATCATACTTCAACATGTCTTACTTCAATAGGTCTTACTTCAACATGTCTTACTTCAACATGACTTACTTCAACAGGTCTTACTTCAACATATCATACTTCAACATGTCTTACTTCAACATACCGTACTTAAACATACCGTACTTCAACATGTCTTACTTCAACAGGTCTTACTTCAACATGTCTTACTTCAACATACCGTACTTCAACATGACTCATTTCAACATGACTTACTTCAACAGGTCTTACTTCAACATGACTTACTTCAACAGGTCTTACTTCAACATATCATACTTCAACATGTCTTACTTCAACATACCGTACTTCAACATGTCTTACTTCAACATGACTTACTTCAACATGACTTACTTCAACATACCGTACTTCAACATGACTCATTTCAACATGACTTACTTCAACATGTCTTACTTCAACACTACTTCAACATGACTTACTTCAACATGACTTACTTCAACATACCGTACTTCAACATGACTCATTTCAACATGACTTACTTCAACATGACTTACTTCAAAATACCTTACTTCAACATGTCTTACTTCAACATACCGTACTTCAACATGTCTTCAACATGACTTACTTCAACAGGTCTTACTTCAACATGTCTTACTTCAACATGGTCTTACTTCAACATGACTCATTTCAACATGACTTACTTCAACATGACTTACTTCAAAATACCTTACTTCAACATGACTTACTTCAAAATACCTTACTCCAACATGTCTTACTTCAACATACCTTACTTCAACATGACTTACTTCAACATGTCTTACTTCAACATGACTTACTTCAACATCCCTTACTTCAACATGTCTTACTTCAACATGACTTACTTCAACATTTCTTACTTCAACATGACTTACCTTAACATACCGTACTTAAACATACCATACTTCAACATGTCTTACTTCAACATGACTTACTTCAACATACCGTACTTCAACATGACTCATTTCAACATGTCTTACTTCAACATACCGTACTTAAACATACCATACTTCAACATGTCTTACTTCAACATGACTTACTTCAACATACCGTACTTCAACATGACTCATTTCAACATGACTTACTTCAACATGACTTACTTCAAAATACCTTACTTCAACATGACTTACTTCAAAATACCTTACTTCAACATGTCTTACTTCAACATGACTTACTTCAATATACCTTACTTCAACATGACTTACTTCAACATGACTTACCCCATCATGTCTTACTACAACATGTCTTACTTCAACATGACTTACTCCATCATGTCTTACTTCAACATGACTTACTTCAACATATGTATTTTTCAATAACAAGACACAATACACGTTATGTCTTTAGACACAGTTTTCCATCTATATAGATAATAAAACATTGGACCTGTGTTAAAACGTCATGGAAAATATAAGGTCAATAAATGTTATGGTGACATTATATATAAAACGTCCTTACACTTCCTTATAGCTGTTTTCTAGCACCTAAGATCACATGACAACTATACCAGAACTCCTAGCTACATCACAGCTTTAAAGGAGAATAAAAAGCAATTGCATGATTGAAAAACCATTCCTAAATCACACCAATTAACGCTGAACATCAAGCAAAAAGCAGTAAAGCTTAAATGTGAAGATAATGGTACTGAGAGGTTTTCCTCTACTACCATGTTGGTTGTGTAGTTCGTTCATATTGGTGTTATATTTGACTAGGAGCTGAGGGTAACCAATCTGCTCCACAAATCCAGAGTAAGGACCAACTAGTTGTTGTGATATCTGACTGGGACAAGCTGCCTTGACAATTAGGGTCGTCCCTAGACTGGCCTCAACACCATACCCTTTATTTTACAGTTTTGAAATAAGCTTTAAGGAGAGTTTGCGCAGAACTTCCATCTGAATCATCAGCCTTTCTCTTCATCCTAGATATCTTCATATCTAAAATCAAAATCCATATTAATTAAATGAAGTAATAATTTTTACCTGAAGACATGTAACAATAACACATGTCAAGTCAACAAAGAAAAATGACTTCATGTAAAGGCAATGTTTAGCAATCTGGCACATTTCACCTACAGATAAATGATTGGACAATGTAAGTTCGCTAGACATGAGATTGATTACAACAGTCAAAACTATAGCAAAAGACGCTGGGTATATGCTACACACTAAACAGCACACCTGGTATAAAGAACTGTTAATCAGTAAGGTTTGCTTGAACATTGTTAATTCAGGTCACATGATCCTCATTACCAGTATCTGTATACACAGATATATACCTTTTTGGTCATGTAATTCCTTAAAAAATGAAGCAGCCATATCTGGAAATTTTTCTTGAAAACAGGTAGTTTCTGATGTAACTATGTAATAGTTGCCATTTGTTTCTTTGTCTTCCTCTGATAAAAAAATAAAAGAATTATTTTCCATACAGTCATAAGAGAGTCAACAATTTTGATCTATGTTGAATTTTTTTTCCTAACATTAGAAATTAGAAGTTATCATATATAGGCAGACTTTAAACAATGTATATCAGGTTAAATGTTGTTGGACTTTGTGTACAAAACAAATTACAAAACCACATATTATGTACACAGTTACTAGCAAGACACATACCTCACGACCTAGGTAGGGACAGCCATAAACAGAGCAACTGTCCTCCATCATACACATACTGTGTTAGAGGGAACTTAGGTAGGGACAGCCATAAACAGAGGAACTGTCCTCCCATCATACACATACTGTACTAGAGGGAACATAGGTAGGGACAGCCATAAACAGAGGAACTGTCCTCCCATCATACACATACTGTACTAGAGGGAACCTAGGTAGGGACAGCCATAAACAGTGGAACTGTCCCTCATCATACACATACTGTACTAGAGGGAACCTAGGTAGGGACAGCCATAAACAGAGGAACTGTCCCTCATCATACACATAATGTGTTAGAGGGAACTTAGGTAGGGACAGCCATAAACAGAGGAACTGTCCTCCCATCATACACATACTGTGTTAGAGGGAACTTAGGTAGGGACAGCCATAAACAGAGGAACTGTCCTCCCGTCATACCAATACTGTGCTAGAGGGAACCTAGGTAGGGACAGCCATAAACAGAGGAACTGTCCCTCATCATACACATACTGTACTAGAGGGAACCTAGGTAGGGACAGCCATAAACAGAGGAACTGTCCCTCATCATACACATACTGTGTTAGAGGGAACCTAGGTAGGGACAGCCATAAACAGAGGAACTGTCCTCCCATCCTACACATACTGTACTAGAGGGAACCTAGGTAGGGACAGCCATAAACAGAGGAACTGTCCTCCCATCATACACATACTGTGTTAGAGGGAACTTAGGTAGGGACAGCCATAAACAAAGGAACTGTCCCTCATCATACACATACTGTACTAGAGGGAACCTAGGTAGGGACAGCCATAAACAGAGGAACTGTCCTCCCATCATACACATACTGTGCTTGAGGGAACCTAGGTAGGGACAGCCATAAATAGAGGAACTGGCCTCCCATCCTACACATACTGTACTAGAGGGAACCTAGGTAGGGACAGCCATAAACAGAGGAACTGTCCTCCCATCATACACATACTGTGTTAGAGGGAACTTAGGTAGGGACAGCCATAAACAGAGGAACTGTCCTCCCATCATACACATACTGTACTAGAGGGAACCTAGGTAGGGACAGCCATAAACAGAGGAACTGTCCTCCCATCATACACATACTGTGTTAGAGGGAACTTAGGTAGGGACAGCCATAAACAGAGGAACTGTCCCTCATCATACACATACTGTACTAGAGGGAACCTAGGTAGGGACAGCCATAAACAGAGGAACTGTCCTCCCATCATACACATACTGTACTAGAGGGAACCTAGGTAGGGACAGCCATAAACAGAGGAACTGTCCCCCAATCATACACATACTGTACTAGAGGGAACCTAGGTAGGGACAGCCATAAACAGAGGAACTGTCCCTCATCATACACATACTGTGTTAGAGGAAATTAGGTAGGGACAGCCATAAACAGAGGAACTGTCCTCCCATCATACACATACTGTGTTAGAGGGACCTTAGGTAGGGACAGCCATAAACAAAGAAACTGTCCCTCATCATACACATACTGTACTAGATGGAACCTAGGTAGGGACAGCCATAAACAGAGGAACTGTCCTCCCATCACACACATACTGTACTAGAGGGAACCTAGGTAGGGACAGCCATAAACAGAGGAACTGTCCTCCCATCACACACATACTGTACTAGAGGGAACCTAGGTAGGGACAGCCATAAACAGAGGAACTGTCCCTCATCATACACATACTGTGTTAGAGGGAACTTAGGTAGGGACAGCCATAAACAGAGGAACTGTCCCTCATCATACACATACTGTGTTAGAGGGAACTTAGGTAGGGACAGCCATAAACAGAGGAACTGTCCCTCATCATACACATACTGTACTAGAGGGAACCTAGGTAGGGACAGCCATAAACAGAGGAACTGTCCTCCCATCATACACATACTGTACTAGAGGGAACCTAGGTAGGGACAGCCATAAACAGAGGAACTGTCCTCCCATCATACACATACTGTACTAGAGGGAACCTAGGTAGGGACAGCCATAAACAGAGGAACTGTCCTTCTATCATACACATACTGTGTTAGAGGGAACTTAGGTAGGGACAGCCATAAACAGAGGAACTGTCCTCCCATCATACACATACTGTACTAGAGGGAACCTAGGTAGGGACAGCCATAAACAGAGGAACTGTCCCCCAATCATACACATACTGTACTAGAGGGAACCTAGGTAGGGACAGCCATAAACAGAGGAACTGTCCTCCCATCATACACATACTGTACTAGAGGGAACCTAGGTAGGGACAGCCATAAACAGAGGAACTGTCCCTCATCATACACATACTGTACTAGAGGGAACCTAGGTAGGGACAGCCATAAACAGAGGAACTGTCCCCCAATCATACACATACTGTACTAGAGGGAACCTAGGTAGGGACAGCCATAAACAGAGGAACTGTCCCTCATCATACACATACTGTACTAGAGGGAACCTAGGTAGGGACAGCCATAAACAGAGGAACTGTCCTCCCATCATACACATACTGTACTAGAGGGAACCTAGGTAGGGACAGCCATAAACAGAGGAACTGTCCCTCATCATACACATACTGTACTAGAGGGAACCTAGGTAGGGACAGCCATAAACAGAGGAACTGTCCTCCCATCATACACATACTGTACTAGAGGGAACCTAGGTAGGGACAGCCATAAACAGAGGAACTGTCCTCCCATCATACACATACTGTACTAGAGGGAACCTAGGTAGGGACAGCCATAAACAGAGGAACTGTCCTCCCATCATACACATACTGTACTAGAGGGAACCTAGGTAGGGACAGCCATAAACAGAGGAACTGTCCCTCATCATACACATACTGTGTTAGAGGGAACCTAGGTAGGGACAGTCATAAACAGAGGAACTGTCCTCCCGTCATACCAATACTGTACTAGAGGGAACCTAGGTAGGGACAGCCATAAACACTGTCCCTCATCATACACATAGGGACAGCCATAAACAGAGGAACTGTCTCTCATCATACACATACTGTGTTAGAGGGAACTTAGGTAGGGACAGCCATAAACAGAGGAACTGTCCTCCCATCCTACACATACTGTACTAGAGGGAACCTAGGTAGGGACAGCCATAAACAGAGGAACTGTCCTCCCATCATACACATACTGTGGTAGAGGGAACCTAGGTAGGGACAGCCATAAACAGAGGAACTGTCCTCCCATCATACACATACTGTACTAGAGGGAACCTAGGTAGGGACAGCCATAAACAGAGGAACTGTCCTCCCGTCATACACATATTGTACTAGAGGGAACCTAGGTAGGGACAGCCATAAACAGAGGAACTGTCCTCCCATCATACACATACTGTACTAGAGGGAACCTAGGTAGGGACAGCCATAAACAGAGGAACTGTCCCTCATCATACACATACTGTACTAGAGGGAACCTAGGTAGGGACAGCCATCAACAGAGGAACTGTCCCTCATCATACACATACTGTGTTAGAGGGAACTTAGGTAGGGACAGCCATAAACAGAGGAACTGTCCTCCCATCATACACATACTGTGTTAGAGGGAACTTAGGTAGGGACAGCCATAAACAGAGGAACTGTCCTTCCATCATACACATACCGTGTTAGAGCGAACTTAGGTAGGGACAGCCATAAAGAGTGGAACTGTCCTCCCGTCATACCAATACTGTATTAGAGGGAACCTAGGTACGGACAGCCATAAACAGAGGAACTGTCCTCCCATCATACACATACTGTACTAGAGGGAACCTAGGTAGGGACAGCCATAAACAGAGGAACTGTCCTCCCATCCTACACATACTGTACTAGAGGGAACCTAGGTAGGGACAGCCATAAACAGAGGAACTGTCCTCCCATCATACACATAGTGTACTAGAGGGAACCTAGGTACGGACAGCCATAAACAGAGGAACTGTCCCTCATCATACACATACTGTGTTAGAGGGAACCTAGGTAGGGACAATCATAAACAGAGGAACTGTCCTCCCATCAGACACATACTGTACTAGAGGGAACCTAGGTAGGGACAGCCATAAACAGAGGAACTGTCCTCCCGTCATACACATACTGTACTAGAGGGAACCTAGGTAGGGACAGCCATAAACAGAGGAACTGTCCTCCCATCATACACATAATGTACTAGAGGGAACCTAGGTAGGGACAGCCATAAACAGAGGAACTGTCCTCCCATCATACACATACTGTACTAGAGGGAACCTAGGTAGGGACAGCCATAAACAGTGGAACTGTCCCTCATCATACACATACTGTGTTAGAGGGAACCTAGGTAGGGACAGCCATAAACAGAGGAACTGTCCTCCCATCATACACATACTGTGTTAGAGGGAACTTAGGTAGGGACAGCCATAAACAGAGGAACTGTCCTACCATCATATACATACTGTACTAGAGGGAACCTAGGTAGGGACAGCCATAAACAGAGGAACTGTCCTCCCATCATACACATACTGTGTTAGAGGGAACTTAGGTAGGGACAGCCATAAACAGAGGAACTGTCCTCCCATCATACACATACTGTACTAGAGGGAACCTAGGTAGGGACAGCCATAAACAGAGGAACTGTCCTCCCATCAAACACATACTGTACTAGAGGGAACCTAGGTAGGGACAGCCATAAACAGAGGAACTGTCCCTCATCATACACATACTGTATTAGAGGTAACCTAGGTAGGGACAGCCATAAACAGAGGAACTGTCCTCCCATCATACACATACTGTACTAGAGGGAACCTAGGTAGGGACAGCCATAAACAGAGGAACTCTCTTCCCATCATACACATACTGTACTAGAGGGAACCTAGGTAGGGACAGCTACTGATTCACTGTGCTGTGTTCTTATCCCACTGAAATTACTTACCTAACTTAGACCAGTGAACTTCCAAGTGAGGGATTGCCTGTCTCTTCCTGGTATGTATTATTCTGTAAGGATAATTTACATATATATGATATATATATACTATACACAGTATTTTCATTTTCTGTCTTATACATATTGTAGTCTACATATCAGGTCTAGAAAGACATGACAGGTTAGTCAAATATTGATTAGGTAATTCATGTTTCCTTTAAATGTTCTCTGTATAAATTTTTTTTTGTTAAAAAAAAATCCTTCTAGAACACAGTCGACATCCTAGTAGCAAATATTTCTCAATGTACAGTGATGAGTATCTCCTATAGTCCTTGAACTAGTTCAACACGTATTGTAAACTAAAATGTACTGGGTCTTGAGACCATTTACCTGAGTGGTGTAAGAGTGGTGGAGGGTATGAGACACTCAGTCATGTTGTGGAGTTGGAGTTGAACTAGGACAAAAGCAAAATTGGAATAAAACTCTCCGACTGTTGAATTGATGGATGGAAAATAACTTGTCATGAAACGCTTTACACCAGAAATATCGACTGGGTGAAAAGTCAGGTCAGGTGATTCCGTAGATTGGTGAGCTGTTAAATATTCCTTGATAATCTGTATGTATAGAAAGTAATTATAAATCTTTGGTAGAAGTAATAACACCATTCAAATTCAAAAAGGAAAGAAACATTCTAAAGTATCTATTACATGTATATAATATTTAAAAACAGTAAGAAATGCAAACAGTTGATCTTCTCAAAATCTAACCATAATGAAGAATAAAGCACAACTCTATCATCTCCTGGTATTTGTGATCTGAGCCACTGTAATGATTGATCATTCTGTTGCCATTATATAGTGGTAGAGAAACTATGTTTATTAACTGTAAAATCATTGATCTAATTCTGATGGTTCATGGCCATATGAATTCACAGATTCGGATACTTACTTAATCAATGGGAAATAAAACCCAATGAAAATTTTATAGTTTACAAAAATGATTTTCTTTATGCAGGGATGCTTTAGACCAAATTTAATCAAAATTCTTGTATCTTAATACAAAAAGGTGTTTAATATGTTAGATTCCCATGGGGTTCCAGATCTAGTGTTTACACATATTGGTTCCAATTCCCTCAATAATGCTTCTGACCAAGTCAATCTGTGCTTGATACTAGATAAGAAGATAAGGAAAACATTCATTTTAACTAGGAAGTAAATTCTAATGATCTCTTAAACTAAGTTGAAATGGTACTGAAACGTACACGAATAAATGAAAATATTTGGTTGAAAGGATGGACAGGAGATAGGTAAAACTTTAATCCCCATCTCAATGATATGGTAGTAATTATATTTGTTACATTAAATGATTTGTAAAATACCTCTTGATCAGGAAATGTTTCATTTGCTTTTGCTTTGGTCCAAATCTGCAGCTCTAACTCATGGTCCTTGCGTTGGTGCCAGGAACATCTGCATGGTTTTGTTGAAGGAGTGGAGATACCTGACTCAGTGGCAGAACTTGGTCTGTGTGCTGGTGTACAGGACACTGATGTTTCACAATAACCACATCCCTCCACTTTGTGACTGGATTTTTCACCTTCACAGAGAGGTCGTTGTGTTCATTAATAAATCTGGCTGTATATTTATTGAACTTTACATATTTATCATGTTTGGGTATTCTATTCTACTGTTTACTGTCTTATTCACACACTTATGTTCATCCTGGTCTTCTTTCCCTATTAAGATATATTCACTCTGTTAAGACCTAGCTCTGCTAACATATGTTAAGATCCAATTTGTTACTTATCTAATTAACACCTGGTTTACTCATGTTAAATCATAGAATAAAGGGCATACTACCCATTGTGATTTCTGTGGGTCAGAATTCAAAAGTGGAAGAGGATAAAATAAATGACATACCCAGAGATTAAATGAATAAAACAGGAAAACTTGGAGGTTAGATGACTGTTTCATTTTCTGGGCGTCATAATTTGAAAATATACTAAGTAAAATACAACAATTACCTATGCTTCGAAAAAATGTTTTCCCAATTTTGGGAAATATCCCCCTTGTTTTCAGCATATTTCCTTGATGGGGAACTTGTTTATATTCAGAGGGGACAACATACCACTTTCAGAATACTAACATTTTACTGTCATGAAATATGTCTAGATTGATCCCTATAAAGATGTGTTTACCAGAGTTTCTTTGTGATGCAATATTCACACCTGAGGTTATCTCTCCTAAGAATTACCATCATGTTCACACCTGAGGTTATCTCTCCTAAGACTTACTATCATGTTCACACCTGAACTTATCTCTCCTAAGACTTACTATCATGTTCACACTTGAGTTGACCTTTCCTTAGACTTACCATCATGTTCACACTTGAGTTGACCTTTCCTTAGACTTACCATCATGTTCACACTTGAGTTGACCTTTCCTTAGACTTACCATCATGTTCACACTTGAGTTGACCTTTCCTTAGACTTACCATTATGTTCACACCTGAGTTTACCTCTCCTAATATTTACCTTCATGTTCACACCTGCGTTTACCTCTCCTAAGATTTACTATCATGTTTACACCTGAGGTTATCTCTCCTTAGACTTACTATCATGTTCACACCTGAGGTTATCTCTCCTAAGACTTACTATCATGTTCACACTTGAGTTGACCTTTCCTTAGACTTACCATCACGTTCACACCTGAGTTTACCTCTCCTAAGACTTACCTTCATGTTCACACCTGCGTTTACCTCTCCTAAGACTTACTATCATGTTCACACCTGAGGTTATCTTTCCTAAGACTTACCATCATGTTCACACCTGAGTTTACCTCTCCTAATATTTACCATCATGTTCACACCTGAGTTTACCTCTCCTAAGACTTACCTTCATGTTCACACCTGAGTTTACCTCTCCTAAGACTTACTATCATGTTCACACCTGAGGTTATCTTTCCTAAGACTTACCATCATGTTCACACCTGAGTTTACCTCTCCTAATATTTACCATCATGTTCACACCTGAGTTTACCTCTCCTTAGACTTACCTTCATGTTCACACCTGAGGTTATCTTTCCTATGACTTACTATCATGTTCACACCTGAGGTTATCTTTCCTTTGACTTACTATCATGTTCACACCTGAGGTTATCTTTCCTAAGACTTACCTTCATGTTCACACCTGCGTTTACCTCTCCTAAGACTTACCATCATGTTCACACCTGAGTTGACCTTTCCTTAGACTTACCATCATGTTCACACCTGAGTTTACCTCTCCTAAGACTTACCTTCATGTTCACACCTGAGTTTACCTCTCCTAATATTTACCTTCATGTTCACACCTGAGGTTATCTTTCCTAAGACTTACCTTCATGTTCACACCTGCGTTTACCTCTCCTAAGACTTACCATCATGTTCACACCTGAGTTTACCTCTTCTAATATTTACCTTCATGTTCACACCTGAGTTTACCTCTCCTAAGACTTACCTTCATGTTCACACTTGAGTTGACCTTTCCTTAGACTTACCTTCATGTTCACACCTGAGGTTATCTTTCCTAAGACTTACCTTCATGTTCACACCTGAGTTTACCTCTCCTAAGACTTACCTTCATGTTCACACTTGAGTTGACCTTTCCTTAGACTTACCTTCATGTTCACACCTGAGGTTATCTTTCCTAAGACTTACCTTCATGTTCACACCTGAGTTTACCTCTTCTAATATTTACCTTCATGTTCACACCTGAGTTTACCTCTCCTAAGACTTACCTTCATGTTCACACTTGAGTTGACCTTTCCTAAGACTTACCTTCATGTTCACACCTGAGTTTACCTCTCCTAAGTCTTACCCTCATGTTCACACCTGCGTTTATCTCTCCTAAGACTTACCTTCATGTTCACACCTGAGTTTATCTCTCCTAAGACTTACCTTCATGTTCACAGTTGCTGCAATGTTTTGATTTCGGCACCTTGTCTAGATCTTGTAATTCTTTGTTATTCCTCCACCCAACCAATCTGTCCACATACAGAACAAAATTAACCACCAATCTGTCTACATACAGAACAAAATTAACCACAAATCTGTCAACATACAGAACACAATGAACCACCAATCTGTCCACATACAGAACACAATTAACCACCAGTCTGTCTACATACAGAACAAAATTAACCACCAATCTGTCTACATACAGAACACAATTAACCACCAATCTGTCTACATACAGAACACAATTAACCACCAATCTGTCTACATACAGAACAAAATTAACCACCAATCTGTCTACATACAGAACACAATTAACCACAGATCTGTCTACATACAAAACACAATTAACCACAGATCTGTCTACATACAGAACAAAATTAACCACCAATCTGTCTACATACAGAACACAATTAACCACAGATCTGTCTACATACAAAACACAATTAACCACAGATCTGTCTACATACAAAACACAATTAACCACCAATCTGTCTACATACAGAACAAAATTAACCACCAATCTGTCTACATACAGAACACAATTAACCACAGATCTGTCTACATACAAAACACAATTAACCACAGATCTGTCTACATACAAAACACAATTAACCACCAGTCTGTCTACATACAGAACAAAATTAACCACCAATCTGTCTACATACAGAACAAAATTAACCACCAATCTGTCTACATACAGAACACAATTAACCACCAATCTGTCTACATACAGAACACAATTAACCACCAGTCTGTCTACATACAGAACACAATTAACCACCAGTCTGTCTATATACAGAACACAATTAACCACCAATCTGTCTACATACAGAACAAAATTAACCACCAATCTGTCTACATACAGAACACAATTAACCACCAATCTGTCTACATACAGAACACAATGAACCACAGATCTGTCTACATACAGAACACAATTAACCACAGATCTGTCTACATACAGAACAAAATTAACCACAAATCTCTACATACAGAACACAATTAACCACCAATCTGTCTACATACAGAACACAATTAACCACCAATCTGTCTATATACAGAACACAATTAACCACCAATCTGTCTACATACAGAACACAATTAACCATCAATCTGTCTACATACAAAACACAATTAACCACAGATCTGTCTACATACAGAACACAATTAACCACCAAATCTCTACATACAGAACAAAATTTACCAACAATCTCTCTACATACAGAACAAAATTTACCAACAATCTCTCTACATACAGAACAAAATTTACCAACAATCTCTCTACATACCAAACTGAATTAACAAGAGGAATCTATCTAAGTTGAGAGTGGCACAACGGGAATGAGTTTGAAGTCTGTGTAAAGTTGAATATAACATATAATTAGGTATTCCTGATTATTGATATATACCCCATGATTTCTTGGAAATTTCATAAGTGCAAGGGCGATAACTCTGAAAGAAATAAGTTGAGCAGAATCAATATATACTTGATTTACATTTATCTCCTTATTCAATTTCCAATTTCAGTTCAATATCCCAATCTGTAAAAGAGTAATGAGTTGAGAGGAATAATGCCTCTGCCATTCCATGGTGATGATATGAAAATATCCTAGCAAAGGTTTAAAAAGTAAGGTGAGTTCTGACTAACACCTTTATTGTCCTGAATGAGACATTGTTGTATTCTACCTGTCAAGAGGGTCCTGTCCATGCATTTTGATTTTGTCAATTAGTGCCAGAGCTTTCTTGATCCCAATACCTTCCAACCCTTCTTTACAAAAGTCACATCCCACCAACAATGCGACCACCACCATTGTTCTCTGATCCAATCCAAGCTTGTACTGAATCTTCTGCATCTCGTAGATATCAACAACATGCACCTAGAAAACAAAGTCATATAGCAGTTTTGATATAAAATATATGCTTGTATATTTAGAATCTATATAACCAAATTATTCTGCCATTCTATCAACTTTTTATGCCACTCTCTTCATTGACTTTAGACTGATATAACAATTGTTTGATCTTAATTTGTTCTTTAAATGTTGGACCTTTTCCCGTTTTTAATCTTCTCTCTTCTGTTTTTCTTCAAAATTATATGAAATTTGAACAGTCCTGTGAAGGAATACCTATAACATTCTTCAACTAATGTTCTTCAACTGCTTAAATCTTTAAATAAGTTTGATACTAGAAGATGGTCAAATAAAACATATGTTATTTCGGAACATTTTCATTTTTTGGTTGCTATGGAGTTTAAAACTTACTAACTCAGATCAAAACTTAGCATTTTCACATGAACAGGGATCAAAAGGAGCCTACATATGAAATTTGAGAAAGATTCATTCAGTACTTTTCAAGAAATAGGGATAACAAAAATTAATTGCAGACAACAGACAACATAGGATGAATTGAACATTCTGTCATCTGATTATGATGGGCTAAAACACTGATAGAATATCAGAATAATCCTTTGTGAACTTACTAAAGTCAATAAAGAAGCTTTTGTAATTATAGCTAAAGGTTTGAAATGTTGAAAACAAGGAAAAAGTCATTAAGATCCCCCGCCCACGTTCATTTATAAAATATAGATATTTAAAGTGAGCAACATGGAAAACTGGAAAAGATCTTAGCCAATTAGGTCACAGCAGCCTCATTAGATATGCACAGAATTTGCCGATAATCAAACTTTGGCAAGGGATTAAGGTAACAAGTGTACCGATCAAGTTTCATCAAAATCTGACCGGTCCTTCAAAACAGATCATGCGGAAAGCAACATCCAAGAGTGATCAAACAAATCAGCCAATTAGGTAACAGCAGTCTCATAAAAATATGCGCAGAATTTGCCATTTATCAAACATGGGCAAGGGATTAAGGTATTGAATGTCTCCAGCTAGTTTCATCAATATTGGACCAGTCCCTAAAAGATATCATGCGGAAAGCAGCATCTGGACGGATGGAAGGAGGGACTTAAGGACAAACGTAAGTGCGATAAGATCTACAAGTGACTGGTCAGAATCTGTTATAGATGAATTTCATATACGTTAACTCAAAGAGGATGAACAGTCAAAGTTAAGTTTTGAATCTGTCGATTACTTACCCCTGATATGGATCGGTAGTCTCTGTAAACAGTTGTAGCCCCATAAAGAAATGCATCTACATCATTTGTCATAACACCATCCACCAGCTGTCACATGTAAAACACAGTTTATAGATAATAAAAAGCTCTCTCTAGGATGAAAATTGTCAAATACTAGATGTATTAAAATAATTACGAAAGGAAAATGGTTGTCAAATCCAGGATCTCCATGAAAAAATATTTCAGCTTACATTTATAAGTGCAAACGTAAAATAGTCAACATTAATGTTAGACTGGAAAAACATCAACATATTATGTACTTAATGTTAGAGTCTAACTACAATATATGTAACATTGATATTTTATATATATTTCTTATCACAGACTTTTCTTTTATTATCCAATACATTATAAAATGGTTTATTTAGATCCTAAAAGTTAGATTTGGAACTTTGGATGTTTGCAAACTGTTTAAATTCACAGATTCATAAGATTTAATGCACAATAATGGACTTAGATACATATTTATGTTTGTGGCCCCATACTATCTATCATTTGGTGAATATTGTTGATTTCCTCATCCCTTATAGTACAAATTCTGGTGTAACAATAGCTTTTTCATATTTTCCCAGTGTTAAATTTTTGTGTGAATTCATCCAGACATTAACTCAATCTCAATATTTCGAGTGCTTTCTATAAAAAGTTTCTCTCATGTATAAGGACAACCTACGGGCTGCACCAGCATATGATTCCATATTTTGTTGTTATTGTGTAAGCCTATACATTCCAATATTTTCTGAATACAGTACAAACACAACAGAGGTACATGCAAAGGTGAAATAATCCTAAATACAAACAGATGTAATCACAAATGCAAATGGATAACAGTACAAAACACAAACCGAAAATGATCAATGATTCCGAATGTATCCCAAATGCATGAAATGCAAAAAAAATGGGTTTTTTGAAAATGTTAAACAATTTAGGGTCTGAAGCACCAATACACTCAGGTATAATCCAGCTAGCCATAGATGTCCTATATAGTCTAGCTTACTTATCCATTATATTGGTTTTTTTGTTTGCAGTAGGGCAAGATGATAAACAATATATATAGAAAACATCAGTCTAAAAACAATACCAAAGAATTACTTACTCCTTCTGCATTAAGAATAGCACATAATGCTTCTCCTTCTCCATTACTGTACAGAAATGGCACACCCAGATACTTCAGTAGCTCCTTACACTGTCAAATATATATAAGAGCTCTTCAAAACACCATATATCCACATCACATCTCTGTCACTGTACAGAAATGGTACGCCTAGATACTCTTATAACAGATCTCTTCAAAACACAATATATATCCACATCACATCTCTGTCACTGTACAGAAATGGCATGCCTTGATACTTATATACAACAGATCTTTTCAAAACATCATATATCCACATCACATCTCCGTCACTGTACAGAAATGGCATGCCAAGATACTCTTATAACAGATCTCTTCAAAACACCATATATCCACATCACATCTCTGTCACTGTACAGAAATGGCATGCCAAGATACTCTTATAACAGATCTCTTCAAAACACCATATATCCACATCACATCTCTGTCACTGTACAGAAATGGTACGCCTAGATACTTATACAACAGATCTCTTCAAAACACCATATATCCACATCACATCTCCGTCACTGTACAGAAATGGCATGCCTAGATACTTATACAACAGATCTCTTCAAAACATCATATATCCACATCACATCTCCGTCACTGTATAGAAATGGCATGCCAAGATACTCTTATAACAGATCTCTTCAAAACACCATATATCCACATCACATCTCTGTCACTGTATAGAAATGGCACGCCTAGATACTTATACAACAGATCTCTTCAAAACACCATATATCCACATCACATCTCTGTCACTGTATAGAAATGGTACGTCTAGATACTCTTATAACAGATCTCTTCAAAACACCATATATCCACATCACATCTCTGTCACTGTACAGAAATGGCACGCCTAGATACTTATACAACAGATCTCTTCAAAACACCATATATCCACATCACATCTCTGTCACTGTACAGAAATGGTACGCCTAGATACTCTTATAACAGATCTCTTCAAAACACCATATCTCTTCAAAACACAATACATATACACATCACATCTCTGTCACTGTACAGAAATGGTACGCCTAGATACTCTTATAACAGATCTCTTCAAAACACCATATCTCTTCAAAACACAATATATATACACATCACATCTCTGTCACTGTACAGAAATGGCATGCCTAGATACTTATATACAACAGATCTCTTCAAAACACCATATATCCACATCACATCTCTGTCACTGTATAGAAATGGTACGCCTAGATACTCTTATAACAGATCTCTTCAAAACACCATATCTCTTCAAAACACAATATATATACACATCACATCTCTGTCACGGTACAGAAATGGCACGCCTATATACTTATATACAACAGATCTCTTCAAAACACCATATATCCACATCACATCTCCGTCACTGTACAGAAATAGCACCCCTAGATACTTAAACAACATATATACAAATATCTCTTTTAATATTTTCAAATGAAAATCTAAATCAAATTTGAAAATGTACATTTGCTCTCTTACTACCACTGAACCTTAATGATTTTCTTTATTTACAAACAACTAAATTACAATGGACTTAAATAAATTTGTTTAATTACAAATCAGCAGTCCTAGAATTTACCTTAAATCATGTATTGGAAATAAGAATATGATAACAAATAGCTGAGATACAAGACCTTTCAGTAAAACAAATCATAACCAATGATAGTGCTACATCACTTTGAATATTAGACTTCTAAAAACATTATGGAGTTTCACTAACAAATGTTTATTAGGGCTTTTTACAAACTCTTCTTCCATGATTTTGTTGTGTCTAAATTTAAGAATTGGTAAGAGATATGTTTATAGTCTTTTAAAGGTCTCTTATTACTACTTCAGAAGATATCCTGTGCAAAGCAATCAGCCATTCAGGTCTCAGCTGCCCAATTAGATATTTTAACAGAATAAGTCAATAATCAAACTTAAGAGAATGGTTGAGGTATAAGTCTGCCAAGCAAGTCTCATAAAATAATTTGATAATTACTTTCGAAAAAGTGTGGAAAGCAGTCCTCAAGACTGTTTCAAGAAATCAGCCAATCAGGTCTAGTGAAAACTGGAGGAAATTATCTCCCCTGGTTGTCACCAATGACACAAGGTGATGTTACACCACAGGATCTCTTGGAGCTCCTGTGACAGTTTGGCGTGAGACCACCTGGCATCACTCTCTTGACTCTTGACTATCAAAATTTGTGGACCCAACCTTTAAATGTGAATATTATCACTGTACCATTTTCTAGTTAGGAGCTGAAAGCAGCGGTGGGTTGTTCCTATGTGTACACCCCTGGGATATTTCTATACAGGTAAGAGCACCATAATTACATATCCATGGAATTCATGGTTGACTGAACTTGCATGAGGAGATTATGTAATAAGTTTACAAAGCAAGTCTCATTGAAATTAATTTGTTACTTCAGAAGATAACATGCAGAAAGCTTTCAGTAATGGTTCTGAAAGATATCAGCCAATCAGGTCACAGGAGCTTGATTAAATATGTGCAGAATTTGCCAATAAGAACACTATAATGAGGGGTTAAGGTAACAAGCCTACCAAGCAAGTGTCATCATAATTCATTTGTTCCTACAAAAGATAACGTGTAGAAAGCATTTAGTTAGAGTTCCAAAACATATCAGCCAATCAAGTCACAACAGTCTCATTAAATATGCACAGAATTTGCCAATAATCAACCCTGGTCAAGAAATTTAGATAATAAGTCTACAAAGCAAGTCTCATCAAAATCTTATCATGCCTTCATAAAATAATGTGCAGAAAGCCTTCCCTGAGAGTGTTTAAAGAAATCAGCCAGTCAGGTCACAGCAGCCTCATTAAACATGCGTGCAATTTGCTGTTAATCAAACCTTGGCAAGGGATTCAGGTAACAAGTGTACCAACTATGTTTCATCAAAATCTAACCACTCCTTCAAAAGATATAATGCAGAAAACAGCATCCTAGAGTGATTAAAGAAATCAGCCAATGAGGTTACAGCAGCCTCATTAAATGTACATTGAATTTGAGGTTTACTGAACATGGACAAGGTATTAAGATGACAGGCATACCAACCAAGTTTCATCAAAATCCTACCAGTCCTTCAAAAGATATAATGTGGAAAGCAACATCTGGACAGAGGGAAGGATGGAACCAATTTGAATAAGTTGGATGGAGGATAATAATTGGATGCTCTAAGATACCTTTTCTATCATGGGAGAGAAACGTGATCTGCTGGGGTCAATGGATGCAATTGTCCCTCCAGATTGGGCCTCCTGGCGTTTCTTCATTACAGCAGCTTTCATGTCCGGAGCAGTTCCATCTGCCACAAAGATCAGTTTGATACCGTAGCCCAACAGCTCAGTGGTACGATAATACAGAGATCTGTCCAATCAGAATAAAACCAGGGGTCAGAAGGCACTTGACCCACCATTTCATGTTTATTACAAGTGCAGTTGGCAGTTTCTTTCTCAACCCCTCACATATGACAAAACATTGGAGAAAAGCTGAGAGGAAAGAAAAATAATTAAGATTAATAAACACCTGTTATCACATTCCTTTCTTTTAGAAAAACCAGTAACTGTTTATACATTCTACTGACAAAATATATAACAGGAGATTCCAGGGGGATCTCGGTGCCCAGCATTGTTTGATCTTTATTTGCTCTTTGAAAGTTGGATCCTTTCCCTTTTTTTCTCTTCTCTTCTCTGTTTTTGCCCTTAATGATAGACATGGAACATTCCTTTGCAGAAATAGAGATGATAATTTTTACCTACCAAATCCAAAATGGCCACCTAGAAATCATTTTGTTTCATCTGATCAGTCCCAAAATCAAACAACACAAGGAGAGACCAAAGGGAACATATGTATAAAATTTGAGAGAAATCTATTTAGTTCTTCTTAGGAAATAGCAATAACAATCTTTACTCAGCAAAATCCAAGATGGCTGCCTGTCAGCCATTTCGTTTTTCTGATCAGTCCCAAACTTCAACAGGCACAACAAGAGATTTGAATTACAAGAACGCAGCAAAAATTGATCTATGTTTATTCATTTCCTCTGAGAAGAGAAGAGTTATTCCATTATAATATCTACACCCTTGCCACTCCAGAGTTTGATCAGGGCTATACCAATCAGAGAATTTAACCGATCATATGCTAAGATGTTATAGGCAGGACACTGAACCATGGATAAAACTGATTTGTTTTTAATTCCTGTTGATGTTTTGCTGGAATATCTCACAGGAAAGCTGCAAGCTGTAAGAGGAAGCAGAAAATACAGCCTAATGTTGATGTCTGAAGAAAGATGAGAGGGGATATAACAGTGTGCCTGGCACTCTTAACTCCTCCCCATAATACAGCATAACGTTGATGTCTGAAGAAAGATGAGAGGGGATATAACAGTGTGTCTGGCACTCTTAACTCCTCCCCATAATACAGCATAACGTTGTTGTCTGAAGAAAGATGAGAGGGGATATAACAGTGTGCCTGGCACTCTTAACTCCTCCCCATAATACAGCATAACGTTGATGTCTGAAGAAAGATGAGAGGGGATATAACAGTGTGCCTGGCACTCTTAACTCCTCCCCATAATATAGCATAACTTTGATGTCTGAAGAAAGATGAGAGGGGATATAACAGTGTGCCTGGCACTCTTAACTCCTTCCCTTAATACAGCATAACATTGATGTCTGAAGAAAGATGAGAGGGGATATAACAGTGTGCCTGGCACTCTTTAACTCCTCCCCATAATACAGCATAACGTTGATGTCTGAAGAAAGATGAGAGGGGATATAACAGTGTGTCTGGCACTCTTAACTCCTCCCCATAATACAGCATAACGTTGATGTCTGAAGAGAGATGAGAGGGGATATAATAGTGTGCCTGGCACTCTTTAACTCCATCTCATCTACAAGCAATATGTATGTAATGCTAAGTGCTTAATAATATTTACACTAAAACTAAATTAGAGGAGATAAGAACCAAATTCTGACTCATAATCTGAGAGTAAGCTTATTGCATGACAATGAACTTGTTTTTTGTTTGCAATTTAATCAAGAAGATGCACATCTATATGAACAGAAGGAAAACCTGATTACTATATAGAACCAACATATTTGACGCAAGGCTTTAACCAGTATTGTAATAAGGTTTATATCACATCTATTAATCATAGGAACAACAATTTATTACCTCAAGTACAGATTCTTAAGAAAATATGTGCCCTTGGTCTTGACGGTTTGAAACTCTACAATCCAGCTGCTGAGATCTACTGCCACTCGCTTGCCCTGTAGTGACTGTACTGAAACATTCTTGTCTGTACTGTCCACAGCCTCCTGTAGCACTGGCCACAGAGTCTTCACACCCATTGCTGTAGGATTATACCTTACTGATGTCTATATGTATCAAACTGTATGATACATTATTATGGCATGATGATCTGTAATAAATGAAAGTTTCATCCAAGTAATTAGATATATAAAGTGTTACATGTTCACATTATTAGCTAGCAACATAAAACTGTCTACCAGTGACGGGGTTGAATGGAGGAATGAAGATAAAATGTGTAGCTTTGGGCAAGACTAAGTGAGCAAGGAGGAATGACTTACAGAATGATAATCATGAAAAGTGCCTGTCTTGAAATATAAAGAATATGGACAATGAACAGATCATTAGTAAGCAAGCATACATGGTTGGACCAATCTGTAGCATGTTACAAAGACCTTCTCAATCATACACATACCATATACACATGTGTAAAAGGAGAGAGTTCAGGTTGCCTTACTAGCCTCAGCTAGCCTAAGCTTCCTTAGATAGAATGGTAGAGTGTCCGACAAGAGGTTACTCATTCAAAGCCCAGTGATGGGCATGAAGTTTTTCATTACTCCTACTTATAACTAATGTAGTGCTGTTTACAACTCCAAGGATAGGAGCTATAGATGATTAAGATGCTTTCTTTAGGACACATTTACTTGGATTATGATTGTCTTCAGGATGAAGACAATGTGAAGGAGAGAGAAGTGTTATAGGAGAGAATTCATGTCGCCTTACTAGCCTTGACTTGTAAGAATTTCCCTTTAGTCAAGAGAAAAAGTACCAGACTGCTAGTTCAGACCCCAGTGGAGCATGATGTTTTTCATCACTCCTTCTTTCCTAACTTTCCAATCCAAGATGGTCACCTGGAAGACATTTTTTTTTGGCACAACTAGGGACAAAAGGGAACATGCATATGAAATTTGAGAGAGATCCATTGAGTACTTCTCAAGAAATATTGAAAACAAAAATTGTTTATGGACAGACAGATGGATGGATGACAGACCATGGATAGACAGATGGATGGATAACAGACCACAGACAGACAGATGGACACATGACAGACCACGGACAGACAGATGACCAACCACTGACAGACAGGTGGACGGATGACAGACCACGAACGGACAGATGAACGGATGACAGACCATGGACAGATAGATGAATGGATGTGTTACCGGCTCGCTTGGCTGTAGTCCATATGGATTACAAAGATAGATTTCTTCAACACGGGTTTTATTTTTTTTATTTTCTCTCTTCCGGAAAATCTCTACTGCTAACCAAAATTCAACCCGGCCGCCGTAAAAGACGGAACGGGTACATACTAATACAACAAAATGATACACGGATTTATAATATCCGGAATGTTATAATTTAATCCGCCTCTACCTGACCAGCAACTATAAACATAACAGATGACAGACCACAGACAGACAGATGGACAGATGACAGACCACGGACAGACAGATGGATGGATGACAGACCATGGACAGACAGATGACCAACCACTGACAGACAGGTGGACGGATGACAGACCACGAATGGACAGATGAATGGATGACAGACCATGGACAGACAGATGGACAGATGACAGACCATGGACAGACAGATGACCAACCACAGACAGACAGGTGGACGGATGACAGACCATGGACAGACAAATGGACGGATGACAGACCACGGACGGACAGATGAACGGATGACACACCATGGACAGACAGATGGATGGATGACAGACCACAGACAGACAGATGACAGACCACGGACAGAGAGATGGATGGATGACAGACCACGAACGGACAGATGAACGGATGACAAACCATGGACAGACAGATGACAGACCATGGACAGACAGATGACAGACCATGGACAGACAGATGACCAACCACGGACAGACAGGTGGACAGATGACAGACCATGGACAGACAGATGGACGGATGACAGACCACGGATGGACAGATGAACAGATGACAGACCATGGACAGACATATGGATGGATGACAGACCATGGACAGACAGATGACCAACCACGGACAGGCAGGTGGACGGATGACAGACCACGGACGGAAAGATGAACGGATGACAGACCATGGACAGACAGATGTACACATGGCAGACCATGGACACAGGGCGATTTGAATATCCAATATCTGATGATGATGGGGTAAAACAGTAGAGTACCAGTGTGCATGCAAGTTAAAAGGAATTTGAGACTCATATCAACAATCAAATGATTGTCTGCTGAGTTAAAAATATACAACATCAATGAGCTTTTAACATAGTCACGCATGCTGCAATTAATTTTCTGTCTTATTTCTCCTGACCCATAAATGCAGCACAAGATGCATTTAATTAGAAACTCCACACATTGTCGCAAATTATACCCTCTTGCAAATTGAAGAATGTGTCACGGTAAAACTTATTGTTAAATGATGTCCTCGCGTAAGCACTATATTTAGATTCTAGGTCAGCTTTAAGCTGCTAATTATTTATGCTAATTATAACATGATCAGAAACGAATATGTAGACATGCATGATTTTATACTATTTAACCTACAAATGTAGGCAACATACAGTCAATCACGCCTGAGTGTGATCGATGTGATTTAGTTTTACCTTTAACGTTACGCCCCTCCAATATTTCATTATGTCTAAATTTATCCCGTCCATGTCTCACTGTTGATGCACTTTTAAAAACCACGAATTTCTACTGATTGTATAATTCTGCTACTGACTGTGCCATTCCATACTTACATAGACATGCAGTATGTTCATTTCACATGTATATGTTCTGAGGCCTACATTGTTTTTGTTTACAAAAAATAGCCAACCCTAACTCTTTCGGAATCTTTCGGGGATTATCCATTTCTAGAAGACTGAAGAGTTCCAGAATACAGAAAATGGCGGACACAGAGGTGGAAAGGCTTACTCAAGCGATATGTTTAACACAAAAACTACGAACAAGCGTCACACGCGTGTTTTCCGATTTGTCAGATGGGTATCATATAAGCCAAGGAAATGAAAAAGCATCCCTTAATGATTTACAAAAGGCGTTATTGAATGTAAATGACAATTACAGGTAAAACATTCAGCCGTTAAATGTTCCTTTCAAATAGCTTCCTTGACTTAGGCCTATGTTACATCCGTATGGTTTTAAAGTAATACTTCAAATTATTTGTGTGCTCTATTTTGGCCTAAAGTGGACTTTAATGAAAAATTATTCACGAAATATGTATTTCATATCTTGGTTTATTTATAGCGGTTGTCTCCCCTTAACTTGAATTTCTTTTATCTCTTTCTCCGGACCTTTTATAAGATTTGACATAAAAGTATGTAAAGAGGTAGAACATAGTGTAGGAGAGGTTTGAGCTAGAGTCAGCTGATCTTTGAAGATATCTACAGAAGCACTGTCTACAATGGCCGCAGAGAGGGGTTTCCATCGGACAGTAGTACATGGAAAAGAGGGACTGTTTGAAGATGTAATTTATTGGAGATACATGTCTAGAATTTTGATTGATTTTTTGGTTGTACTGTCAATAGTCAAGAAGATGTCAGTTGTAGTAACAGTAATGAGACAGGACAATAAGGCATGATTTTAGACAACATTCTGCTTTGAATGGCCAATAGAGACTTTTTATCATTCCTGGCACACTGCATGTATTATGATAGTTATTCCATACAGGTCTAGCTGCCCATCGTTGAACCAATTCCATTTTGTTCATATTGTGATGTGTTTGGAGGTACCATGCAAGTACCATACTCAAATTTGACTAGTGCTGTGTAAGCTTTTGCCTTGATAGTGACAGTTTAAATTTTAAGGTTTTCTATTAAAAAAACCAAGGGCTTTGTTACCACTTTATGTCATGTTGTCACTGTGAAAGTTCCACTTGAGATTTGACTAAAGTGTCATCCACAGATACATGGCAGATGAAACTGATTCCCACATGTAAAGTGTATTTATATTTGATAAGATTTCTCTTGTGAGTGGCTGACGATGAGGTACATTTATAAGGGTGAAAAGCCATTAGCCAATCTGCTTCCTTTCAGAAAGCACCTTCAAGATCTAGTTGAAGTTTATCACAGAGCAAATTACTTGTGACCTCATAATAGATAATGGTATTGTTAGCGAATAGCCTAAGTTTGCTGTATTCAGGAATAATAATGAATAGCACATGTCCAAGGACCATGCACTGGGGGACACCTGATGTAACATGGGCTCCATTAGAAGAGACACCATCTATCACTACTAATTGGAATAGATCCAATTTAATTAAGGATGTTTGACTGAAAGCCATGAAATTTTAGCTTGTATAAAAGGCAACAATGTGGTACTTAATCGAACGCCATTGCAAAATTCATTATAATGAAGGGGGTAAAGTTTAGTATAGTTTATACATGAAAAGTTGATTTTTTGAGCACAATTTGTCCACTTGAAATATTTCAAATGTGGTTAGAATTTTGAGTGAAGGGTGACGGACTGATGGCATGCCCATTTTTATCCTGACTGTCCCCTAGGGGCTGATGGGTGGGGCCAAAATGGGTCAAATTGACTTAAACTTCAAAAATCTTCTTCTCAAAACCCAGATATGGTAGAATCAAATACTCTTCATGAATGGAAGGATCTGAAGGTGTTTTACCAAAATTGTGAATTTCATGGCCCCAGGGTCTCACATTTCCCTGTGGGAGGGGATAAAATTTATTATAGTTTGTAAAGAAAAACTTGGTTTTTGAGTATAATTTGTTTAATTTCGATTCAAAATATTTCAAACGCCCTGCGCGTACAGGCCATTTTGCCGTGGTTAGATAGAGTTATCGTATCCTCTCCAGAAGTGTGGATATCTCTGTCCAGTAGAGTAGAAATTAGTTATGTTTAGGGATGACAGTTCCGATTTTTTTTTTTTTTTTTCGTTGAACTTGAAAGTGAAATAGAAAAAATCTGTAGATGTAAAGATATCAAATAATTCATAATGTCAATAGAAAATTATGAGAAAATAAGCTTTCTATGTATAGAGGATATAAAAGATTAAGTTATAAATCAAGTTTTACATTGTTACCTATGTTGTTTGTATTGTACACTGTAACATGTTTAGGTTAAATTTGTTGACAGTTTGTAACCCTAGAGGTAACCTCCCAACACACAATCTTTGTCTCAAAGAAGATGTCGACATAAGCAAGGAAAAATTGATAGTATTTCTAGGGAACTGTAATAGACTGAAGAAATTAACTACTACACGTTTTTAATATGTATTGGGTTAAAACAAAGAATTTATAAAAAGCATACACAGGCCAGTTGCATTCTTTTACAGTGACTTGGAAAAACTTGTCCCTAACCTGAACAGCGTGAATATCACCGCCCCAAACAGTGCTCTGCCAGGTATTGATCCTGTGTATGATAAAACAGCAATTTATTCACAGATCACCCATGCTCACAAGTGGACAAATAAGGTAAAGTCATGAAGTGACATCATCTGCTTTAAAGTTTGTGTTAATAATTAAGGCTAACCAACTGTAAGTTAACAGAGAAATGAGTAATTCTAAGCAATGTTATTCATATGAAGAAAACCAATACTATGCATCATGCAACATCCATATGCAAGTCAGTAAATTATTGTGTTACATTCAGGGAAAATAATTTATATTTATAAAGATTACTTGGTGTGGCCTACATCAATCTACATTAGACACTGTACCTTTTCTTAACCTATAGTTCGCACAGTGATATTGTTTGATTTGTTATTTTCCTGTAATATACATGTATATTATTATTATTATCATTGTTGTTGTTGTTGGAGAATTTTATTCACTTATTGATACTATTGTAGGATATTTTAATCATATCTCAGTCATGTCTTTCAGGTTCATAAATTAGCAGACTATGCCAGTGCAATATTAAGCCCAAGTCAGCTTAAACGTACACACCAAGGAGGACAACCTTTGGCAATTAAACGACAGAGAAAGACACCACATGCCCATGCTATTCCTCCTCCGTAAGGCTTATCATTATCAACATGTTGAAACAAATGTTACATTTATAATGGGAAGGTACTTTATATGAAATCAGGAGTTATTATACTAGATAAAGAAAAGGAATATGCTGCAACATATAATTATATATATATAACATCTAATTTTGTTAAAGAAATATGGACATGATATTGTGATTTCATGTGTGCCTTGTATATACCATGTGATTGGATGGTGGCTTATCCTACTGAGATTGATCATTTCAGAGGTGTGGATCAGTGTATCAGTGCACTAGAGAGGATCTGGTCAGACATGACAATAACCCTGTCACGTCCAATGGGCAATTGTGCAGTGCTACAGGTAAATTAAGGAAAAGCTACAAGTTCATCTTATCCTTTATTGTTGTGATGGAAAATAAATGTTGAAGCCTAAATAAGTGGAAAGTATTGATTTAAAAGCATAATGTTATGATTCTTACAGTTGTGGAATTGCACAATATTTTTTCAAAATTTTCTAAATTTATAAGAGTACAACTAAGTATGTTACCTAATTAAGCCATTAATATATAGGTTGGACACTTGTAGAAATATCAGATACACACTGAATAGTTAGATACACTGATTTTTCAAGTGTTTTGTTTACAAAGAGTCACACATGATCAGCTTTGGTGTACAGATACTTATTATATATACGTTATATATGTTAACATTAAATGGACAGCTCCATTTGTCTCGTCAGTGAATTGTCTGAAATCTCATACCATCAGAAGGAATATTTCATTTTCATTACTTCTGTATTACCCTCAATTTTATCATTTGATAAACAAAAAATACACTCAAGTATATTTTCAGTGTTGTGTTTGACTTATGGCTGACCCAGCAGGTACAGATCCTGAAGCACATCACTCACCTCTCTGAGGTGTGAAACTATCTACAATAAGACAAATTAATGCAGGGTCCAGTGTTATTTCGAAAACTGTCGAATTAAAAATTATTTTTATAATCACAGATCAATTTTGTGTTCCTGTGATGGCTATTAAGTAATAAATACACAAGTTTCCATTTAATTTACAAGTCATTATATAAGCTAACTGTTTTTACCAAACTGCACAAAACGTGCGATACTATCACACCGATATGCACACAATATTGTGTGTTGTGTGTTACCACAATAAATACAGTTTAAATACAGGAGATGGTTATGTAAAAGAGAAAACTAAACTAATGACAGTTAAATGATAACTAAATAAAAAAAAACCTTGGAAAAGTGTAAGGTTTTAATAAAAAATGATCAGATCTATTTCAATGTCCACAGATAGCCCTATCCCGCACTTTGCGAGCTCTCATTGTACTGCGTGGCCTGCTCATTGAATCTGTCATTGTAAAGGCATACTCGGAGGATTTTCTCACTACAGATGGGAAGGTAAAACCATTACAACCACACTGTAAAATGTTACAATTAATAGTTATTGATTGCATTGTACAATATCATTATCATGAAAATAAGAAGATTTTATGTTGGGGTCAAAGATTTAAGATAAAAAAAAGTAGATCTTGATTTGTTACTTAATATCAAAATTATGATTTACATTCAAAGACATATGTTCTGAAATCTGAACCTGTCTTGGATACTAGAATATAAATACTCCATTTACTCCCATTTTTAGCTCACCTGGCCAGAAGGAATAGCCTGTAGGAATGATGGGATTTTTTCCTTATTTGGTGTGAATCATGTTTGGGTTAAGGGAATCAATTTTGTATAAACGGTGGATCTCTGCCTTTTGGGACGTGAGGGGCTGGGTCCAATAGGGGAAGTAGAACAAGTTCTATAAACTCCTACTCCTGTTGTATAATATTTCAACATAATCACAATGCAGTATGTGATAGCAATATTCTGTTTGACACAGAGATACCAATTCAGTGACTAATATCATCTATGTAAAGATGTAACTGAAACAATTGTAATAATAATTTTTTTGTCAACTTTATTGAAATCTTCAGAAAATGATATGAAAGAAACCCTGCTATGCTAAAATTTCTCTTAGATATTAGAATTTAGTATTTAAGGTTAATACTGTGTTTTATCTAGTAAAACAATTTGTTGTCAGTTTGGCTATCATTACAGTTGCTTGTAAAGAACATTGGTTAGTACACCATTATAAAATCACTACATTCCCTGTTATTATGTCCCCCAAACGAAGTGGGGGGACATATTGTGTTTGCTCCGTTTCTTCTAATTATTATTTTTATTATTCTTATTTCTTCCACTTTCTTCCGCCGACGCGGTTTGCGACACGTTTCTCAAAAACTATTGCATGGAATTTAACAAAATTTATCACACAAATTCATACATGCGAGGTGGAGTTAAGGCCACTTGAATTTTTCCAATCGGTCATCTGAGCGGTCAGCTGTGGTCTAAATTTGGCCAAATGTTAGATATTGTCTGTTTTTTTTGTGAAAATTGGTATATATGTATTAGGTGGCACTAGGAGCAAAATGGCATAGTCCATTTTTCATTGGGCCATCAATCGGTCATCTGAGCGGTCAGCTGTGGTCTAAATTTGGCCAAATTTTAGATATTGTCTGATTTTCATAAAAATTGGTATATATGTATTAGGTGGCACTAGGAGCAAAATGGCATAGTCCATTTTTCATTGGGCCATCAATCGGTCATCTGAGCGGTCAGCTGTGGTCTAAATTTGGCCAAATTTTAGATATTGTCTGATTTTCGTGAAAATTGGTATATATGTATGAAGTGGCACTAGGAGCAAAATGGCATAGTCCATTTTTCATTGGGCCATCGATCGGTCATCTGAGCGGTCAGCTGTGGTCTAAATTTGGCCAAATTTTAGATATTGTCTGATTTTCTTGAAAATTGGTATATATGTATTAGGTGGCACTAGGAGCAAAATGGCATAGTCCATTTTTCATTTGGCCATTGATCGGTCATCTGAGCAGTCAGCTGTTGTCAAAATTTGGCCAAATTTTAGATATTGTCTGACTTTCATAAAAATTGGTATATATGTATTAGGTGGCACTAGGAGCAAAATGGCATAGTCCATTTTTCATTCGGCCATCGATCAGTCATCTGAGCGGTCAGCTGTGGTCTAAATTTGGCCAAATTTTAGATATTATACGATTTTGGTGAAAACTGGTATATATGTATTAGGTGGCACTATAGGAACAAAATGGCGTAGTCCATTTTTCAGCTGTGGTCTAAATTTGGCCAAATTTTAGATATTGTCTGATTTTTTGTGAAAATTGGTATATATGTATTAGGTGGCACTAGGAGCAAAATGGTGTAGTCCATGTTTGGCATGACTGCAGAAGGGGTCGTTGGGGGGACATTTGTAATGGTCCCCATTACAATTAGTACTTGTTTTAGAAGGAGTTGTAGTATATCATTGGTAGATAATATGAATTGGTTTGATTTTTTAGGTAGATCTGTGGTCACGCTCCAGGTATCAGGTGTTCAACAAGGTAAGTCATTTACTCCAGTAGAGGTGTACATTTTACATAATGTTAGAATTTAGAACATCAGCACTCTGTGATTTTATAAAGATCAAGTTTTGAATACATTTGCATTTGGATTCTCCAGTTTTGTGACCACTATTTTGTCCTATGAAGGATTCATGTGACCACGACTTTGTGCTATGAAGGATAAATGTGACCATGACTTTGTCCTATAAAGGATACATGTGATCACTATTTTGTCCTATAAAGGATACATGTGACCACGACTTTGTCCTATAAAGGATACATGTGACCACGACTTTGTGCTATGAAGGATACATGTGACCACGACTTTGTCCTATAAAGGATACATGTGACCACTATTTTGTCCTATAAAGGATACATGTGACCACAACTTTGTGCTATGAAGGATACATGTGACCAAGACTTTGTCCTATAAAGGATACATGTGACCATGACTTTGTGCTATGAAGGACACATGTGACCACGACTTTGTCCTATAAAGGATACATGTGACCACGACTTTGTCCTATAAAGGATACATGTGACCACAACTTTGTCCTATGAAGGATACATGTGACCTCGACTTTGTCCTATAAAGGATACATGTGACCACAACTTTGTCCTATAAAGGATACATGTTAAACAGTGTCCACATTACTTTATTAAAATTTGGTTAAAAAACACTGTAAAGGCAAATTTCTTTGTTTTTTGGTTTATTGTTGTTTTTTTTTTCAGTTTTGAATGACTAGCTGACAGTGTACCTTACACTGACAATTCTTAGTTCACTAGCCAACTGGCCTAAGTCTGATATTACTTATCAACTAATACCATGATCTCATCACTAAATGTTCCATTTCCTTGTGTGATATGAAATTGGATACCCATTACTTTTTGATTTTGTTGTAACGTTGTTCTCATTTGAGAATATCACATTTCTGAGTTGAATTGATCATATCAGTGTGGGCATTGTTGAATCAGAAATACGGATATGTTAGTATTTAGACAGGTTCATATAACAAACATTCTTATTTAGAAAATACAGTCTATACCAAATTATCTCAGACTTCATGTAGTTTTAACTGCTTACCTATAGTCAGAGTTAATATTAAGTCATGAAATCAATCCCTATTATAGTTTGGTTAAAGGATTATAAACACAATCATCTCCACCTCTATTCCATCCTCTTTCTACTATCTACTCTCACTGGATTACCAACACAATCAACTCCACCTCTATTCCATCCTCTTTCCACTATCTACTCTCACTGGATTACCAACACAATCAACTCCACCTCTATTCCATCCTCTTTCCACTATCTACTCTCACTGGATTACCAACACAATCAACTCCACCTCTATTCCATCCTCTTTCTACTATCTACTCTCTCTGGATTACCAACACAATCAATTCCACCTCTATTCCATCCTCTTTCTACTATCTACTCTCACTGGATTACCAACACAATCAACTCCACCTCTATTCCATCCTCTTTCCACTATCTACTCTCAGCTGCTTTTCCCATTCTACTCACTATCTTGGAAGGCTGTGTAAGTGGATGTTGAGCCAGTTAAGTAAATTAATAGGTAAACATTAGGTCTGTCTGATAACCTGACAATGTGAATGTATGTAATCAATGATGTTATTCTGATTGATTGCAAAGTATAATTATCAACATGACAATTGTATTAACAGGTGACAGATATGGTTACTGCTGCCACCCTGCACTTCTGTCATCCCCAGATGCCGGACCTTAGTCTTCGATCTTTCTTGGTAAGAGACCAGGCCCCACTTGTATAAAACATCTCAACTTGAGATTTCCTCAAGTCGAGATTTTCCTCAGCTGATATCTCCTCAAAAACGGCTTGTATAAAATTTTCTCAAGGAACAGGAGGAAGGCATCAGCTAGGATGTCCAGAAATTCCTTGAGGAATTTTCATACAAGATATTTTCAAGGAGATATTAGCTGAGGAAAATCTGGGCTTGAGGAAATCTCAAGTTGAGATGTTTTATACAAGTGGGGCCAGAATTCCTAACTTCTTTCTATAGCTGTTTCTGTATCTGAAATATTAGAATTATACATATATATTTAGGAGATCAGAAATATGTTATAGATTTGATAAATTAAATATTTATGTTATAATTGTTTCTGATCATTTTAAGAAAAAAAACTTCAACATGATTCATGAATGAATGAAAGCTTCCTTATCATATACGTATGAAAATGTAGACATAGTACTTTGATAAAATGTATTGACTAAGTAATCGATGGTTACCTCCCTTCCATCGGTAACCAAGCTACTGTATGTGTGAAATAATTCTTGCATATAAGTTGATTTTTTAATACAACTTAATGTTACCTCCAATATAAAGAAATAAAAACACCAGAACATAATCTTATATCTCCCTTTGTACAGTTACAAGGTGTTAACTGTTCAATATTAATGGAGTCAGGTGGGCAGGTATTAGTCAACTAACAGTAACACAGAGTACTTCGATACATGTTAAAAGACTCAGTCAATTTACTTTTAGGTTAATTATGAACAGAAGTACAGAATTTGTTAGGAAACAGATTGAAACTTTAAGGATTGAGAAAATAACAAGAATTTAGAAGTTTTATGAAAGTTAGGTGACTATTCATAATTGACAACATGATATCAACCTTCTTTGCATGTAATAAGTAGATATGTGATTGACTTTTTTATTTGCTTTACAGCTCTGGTTTAACAGTTATAAGACTCTATTCTCTGCACCTTGTCAAAAATGTGGAAAACACCTTCAGGGGGCCTTTCCTCCAGTGTGGAGGGAACTTCGCACAGCCACACCCCAGCATGATGGTTGTCGGCAGACATAGCAGGACTCATGAATTCAGCAATGCAAGACAATATCAAACTTGTGTTTTTAACGGGAGAATGGAATCAGTCACTAGTGTGAAATACTAAGGTTCAGTTGACATTGTTGAAAATACATGCAGAATAACAAAATCAATGTAATCAATGTTTATAAGAGTGACTACAACAAGCGCATTTTACAGCTAAAGGCTATGGCTGTTTTCCACTGGGCAACAACTAAGATGTGTTTTGATGTACATCTGATGTGAAGGTGTTGTAGAAATACCATGAAAGTGTTTTGCTGTACATCTGATGTGAAGGTGTTGTAGAGGTACCATGAAAGTGTTTTGCTGTACATCTGATGTGAAGGTGTTGTAGAAGTACTAAGGAAGTGTTTTGCTGTACATCTGATGTGAAGGTGTTGTAGAAGTACTAAGGAAGTGTTTTGCTGTACATCTGATGTGAAGGTGTTGTAGAAGTACTAAGGAAGTGTTTTGTTGTACATCTGATGTGAAGGTGTTGTAGAAGTACTAAGGAAGTGTTTTGCTGTACATCGATGTGAAGGTGTTGTAGAAGTACTAAGGAAGTGTTTTGCTGTACATCTGATGTGAAGGTGTTGTAGAAGTACTAAGAAAGTGTTTTGCTGTACATCTGATGTGAAGGTGTTGTAGAAGTACTAAGGAAGTGTTTTGTTGTACATCTGATGTGAAGGTGTTGTAGAAGTACTAAGGAAGTGTTTTGCTGTACATCGATGTGAAGGTGTTGTAGAAGTACTAAGGAAGTGTTTTGCTGTACATCTGATGTGAAGGTGTTGTAGAAGTACTAAGGAAGTGTTTTGCTGTACATCTGATGTGAAGGTGTTGTAGAAGTACTAAGGAAGTGTTTTGCTGTACATCTGATGTGAAGGTGTTGTAGAAGTACTAAGGAAGTGTTTTGTTGTACATCTGATGTGAAGGTGTTGTAGAAGTACTAAGGAAGTGTTTTGTTGTACATCTGATGTGAAGGTGTTGTAGAAGTACTAAGGAAGTGTTTTGTTGTACATCTGATGTGAAAGTGTTGTAGAAGTACTAAGGAAGTGTTTTACTGTACATCTGATGTGAAGGTGTTGTAGAAGTACTAAGGAAGTGTTTTGCTGTACATCTGATGTGAAGGTGTTGTAGAGGTACCATGAAAGTGTTTTGCTGTACATCTGATGTGAAGGTGTTGTAGAAGTACTAAGGAAGTGTTTTGCTGTACATCTGATGTGAAGGTGTTGTAGAAGTACTAAGGAAGTGTTTTGTTGTACATCTGATGTGAAGGTGTTGTAGAAGTACTAAGGAAGTGTTTTGTTGTACATCTGATGTGAAGGTGTTGTAGAAGTACTAAGGAAGTGTTTTGCTGTACATCTGATGTGAAGGTGTTGTAGAAATACTAAGGAAGTGTTTTGCTGTACATCTGATGTGAAGGTGTTGTAGAAGTACTAAGGAAGTGTTTTGCTGTACATCTGATGTGAAGGTGTTGTAGAAGTACCATGAACCATCTCATTCCTATTTATATGTTGTTATCTCTTTTCCTGGCAATGGTGACATTACACTGTTGTTAGAAAATAAAAATCTCCTCTCGGCCTTAGGATGTGGCATGAATTCTAGTAAAGGTCTATCCCACATGGGTGCACTCAGTGGCTTTTGCTAGTATGATCACAAAAAGGAAAAAGCCTTTGACCCAGCTTCTGTCTTTGATACTGTAGGTAGAATATCCCATATACTTATGTGATTAACTGTCTGGGATTTTATTGTGGTTAATTTAGAAATGACATATAGATAACTGTAGGATACAGTTTGTAGATGTATCAGATACAGACTGAGAAGTTCGATGTTCACTCGTAATTTAAAGTGTTTTGTTTACAAAGTGCTACATGTGACCAGCCTTAATGTAACAAAAAGTATATACTCAGGTAAATCTTATATTTTGTGTTTGTTACATGAGCAACCAAGCCGGTACGAATCTGGACATGTCTAGTATATACCTGTGTAAATTTTGTTGCCCGAGGCACCACTACTCGGCACATTCTGAGGTGTGAAACTCTATATGATAAGACTAACTAAAGCAGGTCCAGTGTTATTTCAAAAACTGTCAAATTGAAAATTACTTTTTTAATCACCGATCAATTTTGATATTCCTGTGATCACTGTTTAGTCATAACTTCACAAATTTTCTGTTTAATTTCCAATCCATAATATAAGTCAACAATGTTTACCAAACCACACAAAATGTGTGATCCTGTTGCACAGTTGTACACTCGATACTGTAGAGTGCATGTGTACACACAATGTGTGCACAAAGGTTTAAGGGTGTTGTGTGTTACCACAATTGTAATAGAAGGATTCTCTTTGCCCTGGAAAAGTTTAAAGATAGGCTTCTTTGTGAATAGACTGAATGTCACATCTGTTTACTCTGAAGTGTGAATGTCACATCTGTTTACTCTGAAGAGTGAATGTCACATGTGTTTACTCTGAAGTGTGAACGTCACATCTATTTACTCTGAAGTGTGAATGTCACATCTGTTTACTCTGAAGTGTGAACGTCACATGTGTTTACTCTGAAGTGTGAATGTCACATGTGTTTACTCTGAAGTTTGAATGTCACATGTGTTTACTCTGAAGTTTGAATGTCACATCTGTTTACTCTGAAGTGTGAATGTCACATGTGTTTACTCTGAAGTGTGAATGTCACATCTGTTTACTCTGAAGTGTGAATGTCACATGTGTTTACTCTGAAGTGTGAATGTCACATGTGTTTACTCAGAAGTGTGAATGTCACATGTGTTTACTCTGAAGTGTGAATGTCACATCTGTTTACTCAGAAGTGTGAATGTCTCATCTGTTTACTCTGAAGTGTGAATGTCACATCTGTTTACTCTGAAGTGTGAATGTCATATGTGTTTACTCAGAAGTGTGAATGTCACATCTGTTTACTCTGAAGTGTGAATGTCACATGTGCTTACTCTGAATTGTGAATGTCACATGTGTTTACTCTGAAGTGTGAATGTCACATGTGTTTACTCTGAAGTGTGAATGTCACATTTGTTTACTCTGAAGTGTGAATGTCACATGTGTTTACTCTGAAGTGTGAATGTCACATGTGTTTACTCTGAAGTGTGAATGTCACATGTGTTTACTCTGAAGTGTGAATGTCACATCTGTTTACTCAGAAGTGTGAACGTCACATGTGTTTACTCTGAAGTGTAAATGTCACATCTGTTTACTCAGAAGTGTGAATGTCACATGTGTTTACTCTGAAGTGTGAATGTCACATCTGTTTACTCAGAAGTGTGAATGTCACATTTGTTCACTGTGATGTTGGAATGAGCTGAAAGAAAATAGTATATTTTCTAATAAGTGACTGTAGCTGTATGTGTGTAAGAAAGTGTTTTGAATCATACAGGTGTAAAAGTGAGTGTTTGTAGACTATAAATGAATGCAATGAAAACTAAATAAAGAAAAGATAAACAACAAAATATGTGTTGTTTTGTTCTGGCAGCAGCAGTGTATCTGTAGATAATATTCAAGAACATGAAGATCATCATCTGCAAATGAAAAGAAGCAAATTTTATTGTCAAAATCGCTGGTGTGATGTGTAAAGTGGTCACTGCCACCCATGGCATATTGTATTGTTATACAATTGAAAGAAGGACATTAGGGAAGAAAACAGGACTACATCTTTAATCCTCTGATACTTCTGACCTCTTTTATGTGAAAATTATACTAATCCAAATACATGTTATAGGTTTCCAAATTATATGAACTACATGGAATACTTGTATATATAGAGTTCTTGCTTCATTAAATACTGAAATCATAGAGGAAGTTCTGAATGATCGTATGAAGACAAAATGGACATTCACCCCAGAAATGGAAAATAAGTTGAAGTTCCCAACTAAAAAATATCGTAAAAGAAAAAAAAGGTTTGATAATGGCCACTACAAAAATAAACAAAGTTTGTGAAAATAAATGACCTTGTCCCATATTCAAGGTGACAGGGGTCAAATTCATTAAAGCCTTAAAATAACGTCTGACCAATCAAAATTGGTTTTGAATGATAAAGTCAACAAATTATGCAAAAATAAATTGCCTTGACCTTTATTCAAGGTCACAGGGGTTTGAATTTGTTAACAACCTTTTACGACTTCTTCTGACAAACCAAAAAGTACAGAAGCATGGTACTTGACTGGTAAGTTCTTAAGATAACGCCCACATAGTTTGTGAAGAGAAATTACCTTGACCCTTATTCAAGGTTACAGGAGTCAAATTTCTTCAAAACCGTTATACACCTTCTTCTGACCAAACAAAATGTGCAGAAACATGGTATTTGGCTGAAAGGTCTAGGGATGAAGCCGACATCATTTGTGGAAAAGAAATAACCTTGAACTGTATTCAAGAATACAAGGGTCAAATTGTCAAAATTGCTAAAAAAATCTTCAAAACATTTAAACAACTTTTTCTGACCAACAAAAAGGTGCAGAAGCATAGTATACGGCTAATGGGGCTGGAGCTGAAGCCGACAAATTTTGCGAAAAAGAAATGACCTTGACCTTTATTCAACTTTAGTGGCTTTTTGGATGATATTCCTGTCTATTCCAAAGCTACCCAACGTGGCGCGAGATCCAATTGGATGGGTAACCATTCCGTTCTATCTTCTAAATGCATGTTACGTTTGCTGATCCTATAGTCCGCCCTCGAACAGCTTGGGGAGCAATTAATGGGTCTAACTCTGATGCGGTACAGATATAACGAAAAGAGGGACAGTTGTTTAAATGAGGATATCTGATTGAACCCACAAGAGCTTCATGACAAACCTGACCGGCGAAGCAGGTAATGTGACGGTTCTAGGATATGGACTTATCTATTAAACCGTGACTGTTGGATCTTTCTCTACTCTCACACAAGCCGGGAATGTTTGGGTCCATAACGAAAATACGTTAAACCCGAACACCCCAGTCTCCCCTGGATGCCTGAGGTTTATTCATTATCTATTACTGTTAGACGGACAGTTCCGCAGTCTCCGAATTAATGTATCTTATATTTATTGATAGATATCAACCAAACCAAGAGCGCCTCAGAACATTGGGATCCTAGTGAATGGAACACAAACAATAGACAAAACAACAAGGAGTCGTTTTCAACTAAGATTTTAGCTGAGTATAAAATCGGAATATGATAACATGGGGAAATATAAGCACTAATTTGGTGATTCTCAAGTAACATCCGAGCACTGAAATAAACGGATATAAAAAATCAATTAAAATGACGATTTGTTATCGATACAGGTTAACAAATTGTTATTTCCATAATTCAGTACAAGATTATATTATGGGCATGATGGAAGGTTTACCAAACATTCGTTATTTCTGACTGGAATACAGAGAATCAGTATCATATTTTCACACTGATTATAAGTTTATTTTATTGTACTAACTCATATTTACCTCTGTTGTAAACATGTTGCTCTATGAATTCAGCCAAGTGTCGAATGCAGTAACATCAGGAATTTGCAAAGGACTGATATGAGAAATTACTTTTATGTCAAAGGAGGACACGTAACTCAAAACATACACGGTAAAAATTGTTTCCACTTCATCAAAAATTCATTCCTATGGTATATTTTTTTTGCCTTTGTTTTTGTTTTGTTTTTCTAACACATTTTCTTCATGTTAGTAATGTCAATAGAAAATAAGTTCTTAAAACACAACCAGAAGAAGATTAAAGTTTGACGTTTTGATGACTACACAGTCACCTTCATCTTATAACACAACCAGTAGAAGATTACAGTGTGACGTTTTGATGACTACACGGTCAACTTCATCTTATAACAATACTAGAAGAAGATTAAAGTGTGATGTTTCAATGACTACATGGTCACCTTCATCTTATAACACAACCAGTAGAAGATTAGAGTGTGACGTTTTGACTACTACACGGTCACCTTAATCAGACAAATGACCAGTTTGGAGCGTACCAACACTGACGTACGTAGTGTACGAGATCTACACAGTCACCTTCATCAGACAAATGACCAGTGTGGGGGTTACTAACACTGACGTACGTTGTGTACGAGGTGGTACATAATCGACCAATCTTTTTTTGGTTGTACTATTATCCTTTGTACACTTAGGTCGAAAATAGCCTTTAATGTGTACTTTTTCTATATCTAAAGCTTTGTGGAGCCCCCATATTTCCGAGCCGTAAATGTTAATGCTATTTTAATGCGTTGAAAACATACATCTGTGTCTGAATATTAAATTTGTGATTTTTAACTTACCTTGGAGAGAACTATATGCCTTTTTCCTTGACCAGCCACGTGCTTTACGTTAAGGTTGGAAAGCACACCAAGGTAATTAAATTGGTTAACAATTTTGAGTTTCGTATTGTTAAAGTATCGTTTTTTATATCTCTCATACCGCCGCCATTTCGACAAAACACTACTATGTTATTTGTGTGTGTGTGTGTTCGGCGTAACTTTATGCTTGGTATAATCTTTTTGTAATTATATAACATTGGACAGTGGACCATACTTCCGGGGAAAAAAAACTCTGATTGGAAAATGGAATTGAACAACTTAGTTAGATATGTCAAAACAATAAGTTTGCATTATATTGATAATTCATTGAGTATTTGATCATCACCGCAGCTTTTAATGGTTCATAGAGCAATCTTAGACCGTCATTGAAAATCACAGTGAGCAAATATCGCCATATCGATTTAGAAATCAAATAAATTTGTGCACGCACATGATAATTTAGTATCGCATAGCTTAACATTTCACGTGTCCCTTGTTTTGAATACGATTGTAACCCATAAATATGTAGCACATCAACACTTTCATTACAAAGCGATCTATAGGTTTTCAGGTAGGCATTCAGAGAATGTCTATACAAGGACACCTGGACCATTTGTTACATTTTCGTGGAGAACTGCCGCCTGAGAAATTAGCAACCTTGAGGTGCTAAGAACTGTCCGGAGTTCATATACCCGCTATCTCTATTCTGATGTTTACCAAACAGTGTACAAACATTCGTATAGAGTCACTATATTAAGTGATATCAGCAGACACAATAACCTATAACTAACCTTTGATATAATGAACCTCCAATTACTAGGCTTTTAAACATGCCCATTTGTCATGTTAGTGTAGCAGAGTTATCCCCCTTCTCGGAACTCCTGTCTATATTTGGTAGCGGGGATTTCCATTTTCTGTGTCGTATGCTGAACGTTTCAAGATGTCGGACGTGTTTACATCGCTGAGCGATTCACACAGTACAATTCTAGGAATTTTACCGTCTCTAGTCCCCCAAAGAGTGAGTTTATTGCCCCATACAACTTCAAGAATTATGTTCTTCCAATCGTTGTAAAATAGTCACTGCCTTTGATACGCTACGCAAGTTGGAACTTACTACCAATCTGCCAATTTTTCCACTGTCCCATTTCGCCCCATACATTTTCATCCTGAATCGACCCACTATTTGCTCCCATCTCGATTTCGTGTTCTTTCTATGTTTTTGCTAAATATGAGCCGTAGCAGATTTTCCCCAATTACTCGTGTTGTGTGCCCAAATTTTGGTAAGTGACGTATGAGTGTTCATTTTGTTCTTTCAGTTTTTCACTACATACATGCTCACATCCGTAGTCTGATCTATATACATACATCGATCAACGTGTTGTACTTCGTTTGACTTCTGCGTGTTAGCGACATACTTGAAGTATTGCTTTTCTGGAATAAAATCGAAGCCAACATTTCTACATGCTTCAAGCGTTTTTCATTTTCATCGATCACAGGCTTGATACCATTTACATATGTAGTAGGTATGGTAACGTTCTATTGTATCAGAAGGCGATGAGAAGATGAATTTTCAATACTTTTCTGGGTTGTATATGGTTTTTTTTATCGTCCTGTTAACATTTATAATCATTTTAGTGTGGCTCTCTCTACTTATGGAAACGAATACATGTATTTGTAGCAGGCTGCGATATGTTTGTGTAAATATTTGTGTGAAGGTGATGGTGACATTATAGTGCTGTCACACTGCCAAAGACAGGCAACACGATATCCCACTTGACCACATTGTACTTATAACGAGTGAACAATTGACATCAAGAAGATATGAATGTATCAACTCAATCATAATAAGACTAGGTATTCTGGAAGAGTAAAACGGTTTCTGCTACATCGACGACACCCACCATTTGGATATTCAATCCAAGTAAATAATTTCAGGTTTTCAAGTGAGAACAAGGTATACAACAACGGGACCGAAAAGCATGAAAGTCCTTACAACATCATAGTTCTGAACGCTCAGCACGGAGTATTAAATACCATTTTTATTGACTTCGGTATGTAAGCCAGGAGACAGAACCCAACGCCTTCCTCACAGGGACCAAAATTCAGATAAAGGACAAACATTAGGGAGTGCCAAGGCATCTAGAAAGGAAACCTCATATTAAGTTGCCTCCTGCGGGCGAA